GGCTCCGGCGGAGCCGGAGCCGGAGCTAAGATTTTGAAAACCCCGGAGCCGGAGCTGGAGCCGGAGCCAAGAATTTCAAACCCCGGAGCCCGGAGCCGGAGCCAAGGTTTTCCAATTCCCCACGGCTCCGGCTATACACCCCTAAAGATGGGTTAGAGAAAAAGAAGTAAGCAAAGATGGTAGGCGAGAAAAGAAAAGGAAGAGAAAATTGAGACGGTTAAAAAAGATTTTCTTTCCTTTCCTTTGTAAAGTAGTTGTGGTTGAATGGATAGTGAGTTAGGTTCCGAATTTTATCCGGTTATACGTTCGAAAAATATTACAAAAAATGATTAAATAATTGTTTTGCTTTGGAAAATAGATTATAATAAGCATTTTTTAACTAAATAAAGCTGGATAAATTTTTTAAATTGATTAATTTTAGTCTCCTGTGAGTCAAATTTTTCAAAATTTTTGCCTGCGGCGCAAAAAAGGAAGATTTTTGGCTTAAGGATCTTCCAAAATTCACAAAATTTTTGCCTGCGGCGCAAAAAGCAAGTGATAATGAGAGGATAAATCCAACATATCCTACATACTCCTATAATGAGAGGATAAATCCAACATATCCAACATACTCCTCTTAATCCTCTGATATCACTCGATATCCCCCTTTATCTACCCAAATCCCCCAATGAAAAATAATTAATTGATTTTCCAGCGGAGCCCGGAGCCAACATGGAGCGGTTCCGAAAATCGCCGGCTCCGGAGCCGGAGCTGGAGCCGGAGCCAAGATTTTAAAAGGTCGGAGCCCGGAGCCGGAGCCGGAGCCAAGATTTTGAAACCCCGGAGCCCGGAGCCGGAGCCGGAGCCAACAAATGGCAAATACCCAGCACTGTATGTCACCCCCCTCCTATTTTGAGTCTCAGAGTTTTCCTTATACGTAGAAAATGGTCAGTGATTATTTTCTTCTCCAAGTCAATCATGCTTTTCTTCTTCAAGTATTTTGCTTGTTTATTTTGCCCTTTCACATATTTTTGAATTTTGTACTTACATTTCATTTATTTCGTTTCCACATTTCACTTATTTGCTTGAAGAAAAAAATGATTGACATGGAAAAGAAAATAATCTCTGACCATTTCTACGTATAAGGAAAACTCTGAAAACAAAATAGGAGGGAGGTGACATATTCATAAAATACCAAAACCTATAATCTGTCCACATAAATCTATCTATTTCTAATGTATTAACTTTTCTGGATCAACCTGCTGCGGCAACTAACCACCACCACCTGTTTCTTCAATAACTTCTATAACAGTTGTGACAACCTATTCTTTCCTTTAAATTTTAATAATTCAGGGAGGATTTTTAATTAATTTTAAATAAATTTTAGTTAATTTTTAAATTTTAAAATCGATTTGAAAAAAATTTTATTAAATGAGGGGAATTTTTAAGGAATTTTTTAGGTAGACAAAAATCAATTTGTGGCTATTCCCTTAATTAACAATTCCAAAAATTTATCTAATGCAAAATTTCTCAACAAATTTCTCCTGGGTCCCCATCTCAAACTGTTCTTGTCCAGTAGTTGATAATTACTGCTACAGACCAGATATTTATACCAAACCTATAATCTGTCCACATAAATAAATCTATTTCTAATGTATTAACTTTAACCTGCTGCGGCATCGCAGTTGGAACAACCTATTCCTTTAAATTTTAATAATTCAGGGAGGATTTTTAATTAATTTTAAATATATTTTAGTTAATTTTTAATTTCAAAATCGATTTGAAAAAAATTTTGTTAAACGTGGGAAATTTTTAAAGAATTTTTAAGTAATTTTTTAGATAGACAAAAATCAATTTGTGGCTATTCTCTTAATTGACAATTCCAAAAATTTAGTCAGAGGCACTACCCTCACGCATAAAAAATTATGGTGGCAGTCTATTATCGAGGGGATAAGAAAAATTTTTACTATAGACGACAATGAAAAAATTTATAGACAAAGGATGCCCTTTAAAATTAACGTAAAAATTATTAAAGACGTACGCTTTTCGACGGGCATATGCCTATGTGCGTTCCCGTTGAATTTAATGAATATAAAAGCCTCTAGAAATTAGGAGGGAAATCATTCAAAGTTTTTTCCTTCAATTAAAATTTTCAAAAAAAAATTCTAACCTATTAAACAAAAAATGTCAAAATTTATTTTTGTTTTTATACTATTACTTTTTATTTTTATTAATTCTTCCTACTCAACTGGCAAAGAGCCGACAAGTTAGTATTTAAAATATTTTCTTATATACTGTATTAACTGCCCTCCCACAAATAAATATCCAGCTTCTATTAATTACCTCCTAACCAAGATTTAGAAAATAATTACCCAAGGTTTTTAATAGGTTTGAGGGTTTCGGACTGGGTGACGGTCGAGTCAGTCAGTTTTTCGGGCCTTTTTATCGGGCTTTTATCGGACCGAGTCCTCTTCGGGCCAAAATTCGATGCCTGATTCGGTCTTTCAGACCGGACCGGGCCCCAACCCAAAGGTTTTTAACCTTCTATCAACAAATAAATGTCAAAGTTATTTTATGTATTATTATTTTTATTAATTCTTCGTATTCTTCAGCAATAGACAGCCGCAAAGAAGAAGAACGTAAAAAAATGAAAGAGAATAAAGCTGCCTATTTTGGTATTATTTAAAATATTTTTCACTCAAATTTTTTCACTCATACCCTCAGACATAACTTCAAATTTACTTAGGTATATAAAAAAATTAAGGACATGAAGGATATCAAATGATTATCTCTATAGAACTCCTTACAGTCTATTTAGAAGTTAAAAATATTGGGGTTAGGAGATCAAAATAAATATCGAGAGGTTATAAGGATCAGGGTAAGATGTTGATGAATTTTGAGGATTAACAAGGACATCGAGGGAATAATAAGACCAATGGCGTCCACATCCTCTCATTTCTTAAGTCTGATATCCTTCTAAATTCACGTTGATCTTCTTGATCCCACTGATATTTCCTTAAATCCTCTGATTCCCTACATATATCCACCAAATCCGACGACATCCCACCAACTCCACAGACATCCAACTTAATCCTTCATGCCCCTAATGTAGCCTCGAGATTCGAGATCGTTATCGAGATCGATATTTTTTGAGATATTGATCTCGTTAACTGAGTTTCTTGCTCAAGATCTTGGCTCCTCTAATTGTTACCCTTTATATTTAAATCAATTATAACTTTTCTTTCATTTAATAAATTTTTTATTTAATCAAATTAAGATGAGATAAGAAAGCAAGCAGCGGAGGCAGAAAAAAAGCGGGCTAAAAAACCGTATGCTCCAAAAATCTAAATTCAAGATAGAATTTTTGGCTAAAAAGAAGAGAATGTAAAAAGAAAAGGATTTTTTTAAATTGAACTCGAAAAAATGACTGATATTCTGTTGCCCTTTTTTATATTTTTTATTATACCAACAAACAAGCAATTTTGAAAAATTTATGTAAAACTTTACAATCCTCTGTATAAAATTTTGGGAAAAAATTTTTTTCAATTACAAAATCGGTATCGTACTCCTTTGCATATTTTTCTCCATATTTTTCGCAAAAATAGGTCTAAAAAAGGTCTGTATATACTCTAATAGTAAACCTCATAAAGCCCTCTATGTTATAACACCCCTCACTTTTATAAGAACCTCTCTTGTAGTTAACCCGGCGCCCATGTCTAGGCCATGATTAATGATCAATGTCACCCAAAATCAAAAGGTATAGGGTTAGTAGAATACCTTCACTCTCAAATACCTTACAGTAGTTTAATTTCAAGTTTAATTTAAAGTTTATTTTCAAGTTTAATTTCAAGTTTATTTTTTTTCTGAAGCAAGTTTATTTTTTAACAAACATTTTAATATTCTATTTAAACTTTGTTTCAGAAATAAGCCTTTATTTATTATTTTCAGGTTTATTTTCTTAAAAACAAGTTTATTTTATTCTAATTGTTAACATATAATTGAAACATTTAAGGAGAGATTTATTGCTTCATGTTTATTTGTTGTTGCTAACAAACACACTTTTTTAAACTCATTTTCCTAATTTTCCTAATTTTCTTTTTTATTTTTTTTATTTTTTCTAATTATTTTTGGACATTTTTAAATATTATTTTCCCCAAAAATTTATTTAAAAAATTTTCCCAAAAATGGGGCCATTCCATTTAACATCCTTTTTAAAAGACCACAATCAATTTCCAAACAAAAAAATTTTTTTCTCAGTCTTTGGAATTTTTTTTCCTATTTTATTTTTAATTTTACTATTGTCTCTTCTCCTAAATTAATGATAAAAAACGTTAGAATATTTTAAAATAAATTAAGTAATTGACTAATAAATACATCTGCCGATCATAAAAATAATTAAGAAATTTTGGAAAAAATTTTTTTCTACAAAAAAAGATAAGAAAATGATAAAAAGAAAAACTTTGTACTGTTTTTAGGAAAATATTGAGAATTAAGTCGAGAATAAAAAAATATTTAGTAAATATAATTGAGTTGATTGATTTTGCTGATATTTTACCTTTAATTATTTATTATAATTTATTGTAATAATTGTAATAAATTCCGCCTGCTTCAAGTTTTGATTTAATATTTATTTATATAATTGAACCTGATCTCTATTTTAATTAATATTATTCCGCCTGTTTCAAGTTTGATAAAAATAAATTAGACTTAGTTAAAGTTTATTTATTTAATAATTCCGCCTGTTTCAAGTTCTGACTTAATATTTAATTATGTATTTTAGATAAGGCTACTAAAATAATTCCGCCTGTTTTACCAAATTTTAATTAATTCCGCCTGCTTCAAGTTTTATTAAAAATTATTAATTTAAAGTTTTATTTAATAAACTTTATTTCAAGTTTAAATAATAATATACCTTAATTAAAGTTTGTTTTAAGTTTTATTTTAATAAATTCCGCCTGCTTCATGTATTAATAATAACTAAATTCAGCCTGCTTCAAATTTTAATTAATTAATATTTTTAAATGAGTAATAATAGTAATAATTCAACCCTTACACCCACAACTACATCAACCATTGATGAAATTGAAATGCTAGAAGAGCCATTAAATATTTCAGAATATTATGAGGGTGTTAGGTAATTAATTAGGGTTTACTGTTACTTTTAAATTATTTTTAGTGTTTTAATAACAGGCGCTAGCGGCTTTTTAGGTAAAGTGTTGCTGGAAAAGTTGGTTTTCTCCCAACCCAAATTAAATAAAATATATTTGTTGTTACGCCCGTTGAATGGGGAAGCACCGCATTTAAGACTGTCAAAAATACTTGAGGTAAATTAAATAATTTTGCTTCTGCTTTTAAATTAATTTTTAGAGTCCATTGTTTAGCCGAATACGTTGCAAGGATGAAAATAGACTTGAAAGAATGCTTGTGCCTATATGTGGGGATTTGATGCAAGAAGATTTAGGACTTAGTCTCGAAGACCAAGAAACATTAGCTAATGAAGTTTCTATTGGTATGAGTTTATAATTAGCTCTGCTTCAAGTTTGATTAATTGTGAAACAAGCAGAATTGAAATTAAAAAATCCGCCTGCTTTAAGTTTTTAATAACTAATTTGTTTCAAAATTCCGCCTGCTTCTAATTTCTAATAAATTCTAAAAAAATTAAAATCATCCTGCTTCAAGTTTTAATAAATATTAAACTAAGTTGTAAGCTTATTAATTGAAATAAAAAATTCCGCCTGTTTCAGGTTGCAATAAATATTAAACTTTTCTAATTCCGCCTGTTTCAAGTTTTAATAAAACTTATTTATAATTTCAAAAATCTGTTTCAAGTTTATTTAATTATCTATTTCTTTCTTTAAGTTTTTCACTGTGCAGCAACGGTAAAATTTGATGAAGCATTGCGTGCTTCTATTCAAATGTTAGTAAATTGTAAAAAATTAATTAAATATTGATAAAATAATTAATATAAAAATTAAAAAAGATTTTATTTAAAGGAATGTAATAGGAACTCAACGATTAACTGCACTTTGTAGACGAATGAAACATCTCCGAGTAAAAATTTATTTTTAATTTTTTAAATAAATTTAAAAAAGGCATTTGTCCACACATCGACAGCCTATGCTAATTGTAATAAAGAATATACTTCGGAGCATATTTATGAGCCTTGTGTTAATGCTTCTAAATTAGTTGAAGCAGCAAGTAGTTGGATGAATGAAAAAATGCTTGATTCCCTTTCTGCTCAATTACTTGATGTATTTTAATTTTAAAAATAATTTAATAAATAAAAAATATTTTTAAAAATTATTTTTAGAATCGACCAAATACTTATACTTTTGCTAAAGCGTTAGCAGAAAGTCAGGTAATTGAATAATTAAAACTTGAAACATAAAAAATAAAAATAAACTTGAAGCAAAAAATAAACTTGAAACTATATATAAACTTGAAGCTTAAACTTAAGTTCAAGTTTATTTATTAAAACTTAGGTTTAATAAATAAACTTGGATTTTTTCGAAAACTTAAGTTGTAAAAAATAAACTTGAATTTAATAAGAAACTTAAGTTCAATCTTAAACTTTTTAGCAAACAAGTTAATTTACAACTTTTTTCGAAAACTTAAGTTTTTAAAATATAAACCTGAATTTATTAGAAAACTTAAGTTTAATCTTAAATTTTTTAGCAAACAAGTTAATTTACAACATTGTTCGAAAACTTAAGTTTAATAAATGTACCTGAATTTATTCTAAAACTTAAGTTTTAAGTTAAACTTAAAGTTTCAAGTTTACTATTTTAATTTTTATCTTTAATTTTTATAGTTGCTAGAACAACAGAAACAATTTCCTTCCCTCCCAATAATAATTATTCGACCTTCCATTGTCGGTGCTATATGGAAGGAACCTCTCCCCGGATGGATTGATAATGTTAACGGACCCACAGGAATATTTATTGGAGTTGGGAAAGGGTTATTAACTGATATGTGTGGAAATGTGGACATAAAAACAGACATTATTCCCGTTGATATTGTTGCTAATATGTTGATTGCTGCTGCTGTTTATAGAGCTAAAATGTTTTTTAATTTAGAAAATTGGATTTAATTTTGTTTTAAAATTAAAGGCCTGATAAGAAAGAAAACAATGAAAAAACAACGACAATACCAATAATACATTGTACTTCAGGCGAATTAAATCCATTAAAGTGGAGAAGGTTGTAAACTTGAAACTTTTAATAATTAAAATAAATAAACTTGAGTAATTGTAAAATAAAAACTTAATAAATAAATAAACTTGAAACTTTTACAATTTGTAAAAGTTTTACAATATGTAAAAATAAACTTGAAATAAATAAACTTGAGACATTTTAATAAATAAACTTGAAGCATTTACAATCTTATAAACTTGAAATAAATAAACTTGAATTTAAAAAAACTTGAAACATTCTAAAAAATAAACTTGAAATAAATAAACTTGAATTTAAAACAAACTTGAAACATTTAAAAAATAAACTTGAAACTTTTGCAAACATAAAATAAACTTGAATTATTAATAAACTTTTCTAGTTAATAAACTTAAGTTTTAATAATTAATCTTATAGAATTGTAAACTATTTGGAACAGTTTTTCCATGCATATCCCTTTGATCAGTGCTACAGGGTGACTTGAAAAATTATTAATTTTTCAATTATTAAATAAAATTAAAGGTTCCTTCAACACAATTTCATCGTCAAAGAAAAATATTTTTGATAAATTTTTATTTGAAACACTATTTAATTGCTCAGGCTGCTGATCGTACCTTCAAATTGGTTGGAAAGAGGCCAAAGTTGGTCAAAAATTAATTTAAAAATAAATTAGATATTAACAGATTTGTTAAAATATATAACAAAATATGGAGGATGATGGAAACATTGCATTATTTTACTACACGTGAATGGACTTTTGAATCGAAAAATGCGGTTAAGTTGTGGAATGGAATGAGCATGGAGGATAAAAAGGTTTGAAGAAGAATAGTTTTTATTAGTGTTAAAACTTAAGATTAAACTTGGAAATTAAAAAATAAACTTGAAACAATAAATAAGTTGTAACTTGAAAATAAACTTGAATTAATATAAAACTTGAAAGTTTCATAAACTTTTCAAGTTTGATCTTTAAGTTTATCTAATTTCAAGTTCATTCTAAAAGTTTAATTAAGTTTTAAGTCCAATCTCAAACTTTTAGGATGAACTTGAAATTAGATAAACTTCAAGATCAAACTTGAGACTTATTAAAACTTAATTTAACTTGAAATTAAACTTGAAAATGAAATGAACTTTAAGCTTAAACTTAAAAATAAATAAACTTGAAGCTTAAATAAACTTGAAATTAAATTCTCAAAACTAAGTACTTAATTCGTAAATTATATACATATTTAATTAAAGCTGTACAACTTTGATATTCGCAAAGTCGATTGGGATACCTATTTATTCAACTATTTAATGGGAATTAAGGTAAATTTGTAAAGTTAAATTTTAAAGCAAAAAACTTCTAGATTTATATGCTAAAAGAACGTCTAGAAAATTTACCAAAAGCTCAAGCGGCACTTTCTTGGTTAAGGCAATTTAATTTTTATTCTACTGGACTTTGTTTTGCTTTAATATTACGCTTCACAATTTGGTTTTTTTGATCAAGAAAAATTTTTAAAAATATTTTCAATTAAAGGCGCCGTCAGAAAAGGCATAAATGGATCCCTTGGTTTACTGGATTTTTCCTCTCCTATTTTTACCAAAACTATAATATTCTAAGGAGACCATCTGCAGATTTAATTCCACTAGAAGAATATAAACGTCAATCTATCCCACATTATTTGGAAAAATTTTCATAAATATATTTTATCTTGATTTTATGGTACTCTGCGTTTATATACCACCATGTCCGCAAATGTATGTCCGCACTTATTTTCTTTTCCTTCTTTCTCCTCTCATAAAGATTAGAAATGGTAAGTAAAAACAACAGACAAATATTCGTTTATATAAAAATATAAAAGCAAAAATAAGACAATTTTAGAAATTATTTCGGAGGCCATATTTCTGCTATTTTTTTACAAATCCATTCGAAAAAATTTTCTTCCTTAGCTTCTTGCCTACACATAAATTCCGCTAAGTCCTAAAATTCATCGATCTGAAAATAAATTCAAAAAATAAGACTATTAAATGACATATTTCCAAATTTGACTGCCATTTTATATGAATGATTCTCTATAGTATTTGATGTTCTTAATATTTATGAGAAAATTCTTCTTGACCATTTTAATCTTTATGATAGGAGAAAGAAGAAGAAAAAGAAAATCATGGTTTATTAATACTTACCATTTCTAATCTTTATGAGAGGAGAAAGAAGGAGAAAGAAAATAAGTGCGGACATACGTTTGCGGACATGGTGGTATATAAACGCAGAGTACCGATTTTATTCTTTAAAACAATTTGATTTTATTATTCTGATTTTTTCTGATTTTAAAGTTTTAAGCTTGAGCTTAATTTTAAGTTGTATTTATTTTTCCAAGTTTATTAAAATTTCAAGTTTGAGCTTGATCTTATTTAAGTTTTAAGTTAGAACTTAAGTTTATTTAAGTTTCAACTTAAGTTTAGTTAAGTTTTAACTTAAGTTTATTTAAGTTTATACTTAAGTTTATTTAAGTTTCAAGTTTGAACTTAAGTTTAGTTAATTTTAAGTTTGAACTTAAGTTAATTTAAGTTTTAGGTTTGAACTTAAGTTTTAAAATCAGAATATATTTTCTGGTCTTAAGTTAGGTTAATATACTAGTCTGTTTTATTATTTTAAAATATTAATTAAACTTGAGTAAATTTAAATTCTGATTTCAAGTTTCAGACAATTATTTTACTAACACTTTTCTTAACGAAAATATTATTTTTATTCTGATTCTACATAGTTAGGTATATAAAAATATAATTAACATATAAATACTACACACTAAAACATAAAAATAAAATATTTGAATCAACCAAAATTAAGCTTTAGGAATTCCAAACGAAATCCCTGATTGTTCAAAGCCAACTTCATTCACTCCACGTCGGATTTTGAAAAAGCCATATTCTCCCCATCCAGTACCCCAAGAATTTGCTCCTATCCAAAAGTCGACTTTTTGATTACTGGTGAAGCATGTTTGTGTTCCCCATCCAATGATACGAACAGCATGGTAGCCAACTAATTGATTGCTAGTTCTCTTTAATAAAAATTTTTTAGGCTCAGTTTACTATACACTTCTTAAGTTTAGGTTAGCAACTGGTTAGGAGAGCTGCCTAAACGATATCCTTATTTAATATGTATATGCACCATTTTGAGGTACATCCACTAAAAAGTAAGCTATCAAGAGTGCGCCATGACGTTTGGCGTTATTTTTGGCCGCTTTTGGCGTTCTGACTTTGGCGTGTTTTAAAAATTTGAATGTGCTACTTTTGACGCACATTTCTGATAGCGATGTCCAACTATATTTTATTAATTTACATACAAAATAGACTCCAGATCTGTAAGACATAAAATCTGAGTAGACAGCGAAAATAGCTACAACAGGTCCATTTGTTTGTATTTCTCTTTGAATGGCTGCTACAGTTGCTTGACTTCCAGAAAGTTGGGCAGCCGATACTCCTTTATTTTTTTATTAATTAAAGAAAATTTTTTCCAATAAACATACCCATATGTTTATCCTGTGGATAAGCGGTTCTCCAACTTGCTGTGCATGACGACATACATGGAGGAGCAGGCCCTGCTTGATTCGGTGAGAAAGGATAAGGTTTGCATCCACTTTTCCAAGTATAATCAGTTCCAGTACAAACTCCCTTGGTTTGTATCCACTGCCAAGCACTATAAGGCCAGCCACCACGGCAACCATCTCCTTGCATTGAACATGTAAGCACGTCTAAAGCAGAAAATTGATAACCAGCATCATTTGATGGGGAATTCTGTCCCTTCTTGGCTCTAGCAATGCAGTAACGATCAGTATAGGCTGAAGCCGTGGAAACTGCCCAACAACTGCCACATTGGCCTTGATTTTGAATACGTCCAATTATTTGAGAACACCCAGACCAGTTGGTTCTGGCGTCAAAATCAACTTTTGGGAAGCATTCACAGCCTGGTTTTGTATCAAACTTGGGAGGGGTTGCTTCAGTTTTGTTTATTTTTAGCTCAGCACTGAGTTTAACTCCACAAAGGATCTTTTGCTTTGCCAACGGCAAACGACTCAATTCGTTAACTGAGGCTGTCCATATTCCAGCAGCTTTTAAATTAATCTCTTTAACTAGCTTCTTAGCTAGTTCCAAATCTAATAATTCGTCAAGTAGACCATTAGACTTATTTTTAGTAGCAGTAGTTGAGGAAAGTAGCCAAATGGTGAAGGTTAAGATTAAAAATGTTTTGGACATTTTTTGATGCTTTTGGATTTTTTGGAATTTTTGAGGGAAGGAGAGGAGATGAAGTTGATTTTTACCAAGCTTTAGGGGGTTTATATATGAATTTTTTAATTATTTTTTATTTATTCAGTTTCACGCTAGACTTGTTTTTTTTTTGTTTTTAGAAACCCACAATTTTGCACTTTTTAATTTTTATAAAATTTTTAAAAATAATATAAAAATTATTTTTAAAAATATTTACTATTTTATTTAACTCAAGCGGAGGAGGATGATCAAACAAAAAGTTAAAAAATAGTATTCATTTCCAAAATTTTATTTCTTCATTAATTTAAATTTTCATTTACTTTACTTTTAAAATTAAGTTTTAAGTTTAAACTTAAGTTTTATATTTTATTACAAGGCTTTCAAGTTTATTAAAGAGTCACACTTAAGTTTATTTTTTTAATTCTGATTTAAATTAGTATTCTGGTTTATTATTCTAGAGAAATTAATCAAACCTGAAATTCTGATTTTGTTTTAATTCTGATTTTATTTTTAAGTTAAAACTTGAAATTCTGGTTTTGTTTTAATTCTGATTTTATTTTTAAGTTTAAACTTGAAATTCTGGTTTTGTTTTAATTCTGATTTTATTTTTAAGTTTAAACTTGAAATTCTGGTTTTATCTTGAATCTTGGAATTCTGATTTTATCTTAAAATTTAAATTCTGATTTAAAGTTTTAAGTTTAAACTTAAAAAATATAAAAGTACATTGTACTTTCAGTATTATTTTAATTTTATCATACATATGTTATTTTCAATAATAATTTTAGATATTAAAAAAAAATCTAAAAATCGTAAAAAAACAGCCAATTAATTTAATGATGTATTGCTCAGATACATAATTTAATTAACAAAAAATAAAATTTTGGGTAAACAAGATATTTTTTTATTTTTACATTTTTTGTTTAAAGAAAAACAAATTTTAATTTTTACTTACTAACATTTAAAAAAATTGTTTTTAAATCAAAATAAATAATTTTTATTAATTCAAGACAAATAAATCAAAAAATTTTTGATTAAAAACTCAAAAAATTTTTTTTTAATTTATTAAAAAATGCCCCGAGGGCTTCCGGAAGATGGGTATAAAAGTTAAAATTATTTGTTTACCTCAACTCATAAAATAAAAATATAATCTTATTCTAAAAAATAAAATGAAGGAATTTTTACTTGCTTTGCTTGTCGCGTTTATTATGGCAATGATTGAATCTGCAATTGCTGGAGAGACTGGAGGACCTGATCAGTAATTTTATTACTTATTTATTTTTACGGATAAAATTCTGATTTCTAAAAATTCTGATTTTAAGAAATTCTGATTTCTAAAAATTCTGATTTTAAGAAATTCTGATTTCTAAAAATTCTGATTTTAAGAAATTCTGATTTCTGAAAATTCTGATTTTTATTTACAGTGGAATTAAACGCGGTTATGGCAATTGGCGTGTTCCACCAAGACCCAACAACTAAAAAAAGTAGATGTCCTAATGAATTAATAAAACTAACAAAAAACAGTGTCATGCTAACTAAAGGGAAAGATAAATCGAACGACACGACAAGGAACGACCAACTCACGGAATATTTTAAAAATCGGAATTTTTTTTTGAAAAATCTGAATATTTTTCAGAATTTTTTTCTAATTTTGTTTTTTAAAGTAGTCAAATTTTTTTTAAAAATTCTTTTTTAAAAAATATTAAGATTTTTCAAAAAATTCCAATTTTTAAAATATTCCATATTTTAGCCATTTCGTGAGTTGGTCCTTGAATTGGTCGTTTCTTGATTTGTCTTTTCCTTGACTTGTCTGAATTTTTTAAAATCAGAATTTTTTAATTTTTGATTTTTAATAATTCTGATCTATAAAATTCTAATTTTTATTTTTAGTGGAATTAAACGTGGCTACTATTGGGGTCGTAAATAATCATCCAATATTCAACAAATAAAGAAAGTAGATGTCCTAATGAATTAATATGTAAAAATATACTCAAAAAACTTTTGATTCTTTTATCAGAAAAAAATTTTTAAAATATTCTTTTTAGTTTATTTAACTTGAAAAATGCCATTAAAGAGAAATAATATTAAAATAAAAAAAAATTTAAATCCAATCCAAAAAATCCAAAAAAAAATACTTTCCACACAAAATATATTTAAAATTAAAAAAAAATATAAATTTAAAAAAATTGTAAAACTTTTTTAGGAGCAAGACATATATCGGGGGATATTTACTTTTATGAACAGAGCTATTCTCTACTAGTTTCACGACCCATTGCCTCAATGGGTGTCTTATTGAAGGAAATTTCTATTTTGAATAATTGCCCTATTATTTTCCAATTGAATTGCCCTTTATTGAAGAAGAGAAACTTTTTTTGAAGATTTTAGAACCAACATAGCCATATAAGTCATTTTTGTGTGTTAATGTAAAATCCCCCGATATATACCTATGTCCCTTTACGTTTCTCCTAACCCCTACCAGAGGTTGATCGGAATTCCTATTTGCAACGTTTTTTTCCTTCCGAGTTCCGAGCTCCTACTTTTGAGTCATTTCCGATTTTCGACAGTTCCAATTTTCGACAGTTCCAATTTCCGATAGTTCCAATTTCCGGCACCTTCGTCATTTCCGATCGACCTCTGTTCCCCCTCTACCAAAAAAAACATTTTTCCCTTTTTTTAATTTATTTTTAATTTTATTATTTTTCCCCTTTCCTCCCTCCTTTCCCTCCCTCTCTCTTCATTCTCCAATTTCTTTTCTCGGTTCTGTTTTAATTATTGGAAAAGGTGGTGGTGCAGAGACTAAAGAAGAAGCTTGCTGTTGAGTTGTTGTCAAAAATTGTCCTCCCCCTCCACCAGTTGTTTGATTTATTTTTAAAACTAAAAGTAAACGATGTGGAGACCCTTCTTGTAAAAGTAATGGTAAAGCTCTTGGAGCAAAAAATTTTAATAAACGTTCAGCAACTGGTGAATTTGTAAAAATATAAAGTATAGCTCCTTCTAATGTAACTACTCCTGCTGCATTTTTTTCCTAAAAAAATAAATTTTTTTCAATTAAAATAATATTTTCAACTAGATTTGTCAGTTCCTGGAAATTCTTCAGATATCCGAAACCGAACCGAAAAATCCTTTGTTCAGTCCAGAACCGAGAATCTCCTATTTTTGAATAATAACAGCAAAGAATTTGGCCCAAAGCCTCTAAATCTTACTCAAAAATTCTCTTTAATTTTCTAAATAATTTTTTTAGAAATGGGCAATCGAGCATGTTAGCGGTCTAGAGGTGTCAATTTAAAAATTTTTTTTTAATTTTAATAAGCGTTTTTTAAAAAAGAGCTCCTTAACTATTTTCATTCTTTCAATAATAAAAAATAAAAAAATAATTTTTTTTATAAATTAGACACCTCGACCTGAATCAGGATCTAGAAATTAGGTAAGTTAAGCTCTTTCTTCAGGGTTTGCTTTCCTCAAAAAAAATTTTTTCTTTTCAAAAATTCACAAGGTCAGGGTTTTCCCTCCTCAAAATTTCCAATTTTTAATTTAAAAAATTCAAGAAGAAAAAAAATTTTTTTCTCTCCAAAAATTCACAAAAAATTTAAATTTACCTGTAAATATTTAATTAACGGTTCACAAGTTTGTTCCCTTTCAACAGCTATAGAAATTGCAATTTGTGTACGTGTATATTCTACCAATTTTTGATACAAATCCAAAATAACTGGTAAACGTTGATTTATTGTTAAACGAAGAGCTACACCCGATGAGTCACGCAAAATGTCTTGAATTAAATGTTCACGTCCAAAAACTCGATATAAGCTTGAAAAAGGAAATTAAAAATTAAATAAAAAAATTTTAATTTTCAAAAAAATTTTCGCCGGAGGCGCTGAAAAACCAAAAATATAACTCCAAAAAATTTGCGTTTGGAATGGTAAAGTGTCAAAATTTTGGCTCCCTCCTATTTTAGCCCCTCACCTCTCTTTGAAATTGACCGTCGGTTACGCCCTTATGTTAGTCAATAGTAGTAAAGTTGTTGGCTATCGGTTAATTTTCGACTGTGGTTGCTCAATTGTTCTTTAGATTTTCCATTTGAGCTGACACGAGCAAAAAATTAACCGGTCGTAACAAATATGATTACATAAAATGGATAGTCCAAAAAAATAGAAAAAAAACAGTTTCAAGGTTAATTCCCCCTCCCCTCCCCAACAAAATCATTTCTTTTAAAAAAATAAAAAAAACCTCAATGGATATACAAGCTTTTTCAACTGTATTACACCCTTCCAAGTACAAGCTACAGCTTCTTTTAATTGCTCAATATTTTCAAAATGCCCAGCTCTTGTTGGACTTGAACTTGGCGATGGAGTTGAAACACGTGCACGTTTATTATTTGAATCCAAATCATTATTGCTTCCATTATTTATATCACATAAACGTTTTCTTGAACGAGAATCTTTTTTGTCTTCTCTAAAAAAATTTAAAAAAAAAATTTTTTGAAAAATTTTGGAATTTTTTTTTTGGAAAAAATTTTTTTGAAAAAATTTGTAAATTTTTTTTTGAAAAAATTTTTAAGAAACCTAGCATAATCAACAGTTATTGTACCACAATCTTCAACTAATTCTTGATTTTTCATTGATGTCCAAGCCTCATTTGCAGCACTTGATTCAGCAAAACTTTAATTAAAAAAAAATTCTATTTATTTTTTATGAAAAGATGACGTTTAATTGAGGTCATTTTTACTGATTTTAGATTAAAATTGAGGTCCGAACTGTACTCATAAATAAAATTAAAAAAAACCGTATAATAGCATGTGACGCCCCATCATCATACTCAATTTCTTCAATATCCCCAAACTTTCCAAATTCTTTATCAAGTAAATCAGAATTTGCCCAACTGCCTAAACCACCAACAATCAAGCTAAGATTTGGTACTGATTTTCCATAACCTGGAAAAAAAATTATTTTAAATAAAGTCAGCCTTAAAATTTAAAAAAATGACCCTACAATGTCATTAACTGGAAGGTAATGGTTGGAAGGGAGTAGTTGACTCCCAGCTCTTCCCTTTGCATTAAGGATATTATGTACAAGTACAAAAAAAAGTCTGATAAAATTCCAGATCGAAAAATCGAGTAAAGGATTTTTGATAAAACGGGAAATCCCTAAACCAAACAAGCAGTGATCAAATACCCAATTACCAACCAAACACAAAAAACGTCTCTTAAAAGAGGTGCATCCTATTTTGTGAGTATCTTATAGACAAGTCCGACCCTATTGTGAGTATGTCTTATAGTGAGGTTTGCTAGTAGAACAAATTTTTAAAAAAATTAATTTCCCAAAAAGCACTTACCAACTTGACATCGATTACCCCCAGGACGAATAGGTTTTCCATGTTGTCCTTGTCGAGCAGCTATAGAGCCTTCTACTGTCTAAAAATTTTAAAATTAAATACATTTTTAAATTTGAAAAGAAACCTCAAATTGTAAAAAAGCATAAGCAGCATTAGAATCTGCCAAAGTTTTAATATCAACATCGTCAATAGTTCCATAACAATCAAATATACGGCGCAATTCAGAATCTCGTATATTTCCAGGCAAATTACCAACAAAAAGTGTACGGCTAGCTTGGGAATCGTCTTGATTTAAATCTTAAAAAAAAATTTTTTTAAATTAAAAACTGAAAAAATTTAAATATAGAGGATTCTTAATCATTAATTAATACGAGCTTTTTAACCGCAGTTAAAATTTTATGGTTAGCAAAGCTTCTCTAAAAATCTTTTTTTCCTTACTTAAACGGGAGAGCAGGCCAACCTAATGCCGAGACTATAACCTCTTTCAGAATTGTCGAATCCAAGAAGTCTTGGTATGTTTCGATACGCCTCGACGAGCTGAATCCAACCATACCAAGTTGTCTAAGATACGACAATTTTGAACGAAGTTATAGCCTCGGCGGTAGGTTGGGCTCGCAGTAGGTTGTGATGTACCCCTTAAAAGGATGGAAAAGGGTTAATACGGGTAATCCTCGTCACAAAAAAAAGTAATATTTCAAAAGAAAGAATTAATTCCGTATTTTTATTTTGGTACCATTGGATAGAACATATTCGATAACCTATTACCAATTTTTCCTTGTAGGCCCCAAAGCCGGAATCGAGACTAGATACGTCACCCACACATTTTTCTTATTTAAGAGGAAATTTCTAGATTAATTAAATAATAAAAAAACACAAAACAAAATCCGTGATATAACTCACGAAACACCGGCATCTCAGTACGTTTTGGTATTGTCCGACGCTGTTGAAGATTATTTGTGTAATGATGGTGGTGAGTTGGAGGCGATAAACGACGTATTGGACGTTGAATTGGTGCAGACGAATCAGAGGCCAACACAGCACGATTATAACGATCAGGAACAAATTTGCCTTTAAAATTAAAATAAAATTTAAGAAAATTTTTGGTGTAGTTATAAAGACATTAAAGGCATTTACATGTGAAGGGAGGTGTTCATGAGTTCTAATATTTGTTAGTAGTAGGAGGAATGCCTCGGAATTTACAAATAAGGTCTAGACCAGATTACCTTCCAGCCAGGGATGTCACCGGTTATCCAAAACATAAAACTTATTTCGACCCGAAATCCAACTTTACTCTCAAGTTGGGTGAGAGCTATCATGTTATACAAGGAAAGCAGACTTGACCAACTGCCGACAGGCATCGAGTCTTACATTAAATAGAAGTTCGAATGTATTTATGAGGATATCTTAACCCACGCCTACACTAAATTTTCTTTAAAAAAGTTTAAAAAAACCTTCTTGGTCTCGAATAACTCCAGCAGGGTCAATTGCAATATTTCGACCAAGAACTTTATTTAAACGAGGCAATAAAGAACGTCGAACACTTTTTGCACAATCAGGACGTTCAAAATTAACATAAGCCATACGTTCATCATCCTCCGGGTTTCGAACTATTTTTATCTAAAAATTAAAGAAAAATTGGTTTTTTAGGTGGGTGCCGGAATTTTCGTCTCTGGAAATTTCGTCTCCAAGACTTTTCGGAACTTTCGTCTCCAACATTTTCGGAATTTTCGTCTCCAGCGGAATATTCGTCTCCAAGGAAATAAACGGAATATTCGTCTCCACAATTTTCGTCTCCGCAGGAATTTTCGTCTCCAGAGGAAAATTTACCCGTTGACGGAACAGCCTCCCCCGCTAACGGAACAACATCCCCCGTTGACGGGGACTCTCCCTCACTGACGGAACATCTTCCCCGTCAACGGGGGATGTTGTTCCGTCAACGGGGGATGTTGTTCCGTCGACGGGGGAGGCTGTTCCGTCAACGGGTAAATTTTCCTCTGGAGACGAAAATTCCTAGCGGAGACGAAAATTGTGGAGACGAATATTCCGTTTATTTCCTTGGAGACGAATATTCCGCTGGAGACGAAAATTCCGAAAATGTTGGAGACGAAAGTTCCGAAAAGTCTTGGAGACGAAATTTCCAGAGACGAAAATTCCGTACACCTTTTAGGTAAATGAACGCATAAAAATATTTCGGGGTATGGAGAACCCCGAACGAAAATTTAAAAAAATTGATCAAAAATTCATCCTAAAATCGCCTATTTTTCGAAATTTCGAAAGAAAAATTTTTTCAAAAAAATTTTCCAAAAAATTTTTTGCTGAAAAATTTTTGTGATACGGGGGCTAAAACGAAATTGAAAAAAATCCCTCAAAAAATATTAAAATCAAGAAAAACCTCAAAAGGTGCCAGATGTCGAAATTCCTTTTCAAGTAAATAGCGAATATCATCTTTATCGTGTTTTGGGTCAAATTGAGAAATTCGCAAATTCAAATAATCTTCTGGTGAGTGAGATCCAAAGCGTTCCTTGTAAAAAGCAGAGAGGCAACTACTCGAAGTTGTTTTTGGTGATCCACGGCATTTATGTCCACTTCTAGAAAATTAAAAAAAAATTTTTTTAATATAATTTCGCCCATCTAGTAGAGAAAATATAAAATTTTTTAGGATTTTTTAATTGGCCAATGAGCCAGAATTTCACTTTTTAAAATTCCCCCCATTCACCTAAACATTATTTTTTTCCAATTTTCATGAAAATGAAGGAAAAGGGTCGTCTTTAGCTTACAAGTTCCCTCCTTATAAACACCCTCTAGTGTCCAACAAAATCTTTCATATCTTACCCATTCCCCTATAATTTTTATCGAAAAAAATGGAAGGGATGAGGTCTTATATTTTCAATTAAAAAAAATAAAACTAAACCTTGGAGGAGGAGAACGATAAGAACGTGAAATTCTCGAATCTTTTTCAGCTCCTCTACTTTTTCTTTCAACACTTTCATTTCTAGAAGAATCGGATGAAGAAGAACGATCTCTTGAATGATGTCCCATAATGACCTAATTTTTGGTATTTTATTTTGATAATTTTTTGCTGCATTTTTTTAATTAAATAATAAAATTTAATTGGAAAGAAGCCTTTTTTTGAATTTAAGTGCAGAAAAAAATTATTTTTTTCCAATTTAAAAATTAATAAGAATTTTTTTTAATTTTTAGGCGTAAATATAGGCAAAAAAATAAAATTTTTTGAATAAAAATTTTTTTAAGAGTGCAGAAAAATTAAAATAATAATGTTGACAATTAATTATTATCATTGTGGAGAATTTTTTTAAAAATTAAATAAGAAAATAAATTAATTAGAAAATATAAGAATTAAAATAAGAATTTTTGTAGAATATATTTTTGTGACCTGAAGAAGTGCTGGATTAAAAAGTTGTTAAAAAAAATTTTACCCAATTCCCCCTAAGAAATTATATTTAAGAAAATTCCGCCTGTTTCAAGTAAAAATTCCGTTAACAAATTCAGCCTATTTAAACCATAAAAATTCTGATTTTTATAAAAATCAGAATTTTTATATTTAATTCTGCCTGTTTTATAGAAAAAATTCCGCCTGATTTAAGCAAAATTCTGGTTTTTATACAAATCAGAATTTCTATTTAATTCCGCCTGCTGCGACTAAAAATAATTCCGCCTGCTTCACTTTACAAATCAGAATTAAAAAATTAAAGTTTTAAACTTTAAATTCAGCCTGTTTCAAAACTTGAAGCATTTCCCTCCCTTTTGCTTCAACAAAGCATTTTTAATTTAATTAAAGTTTTAATTAAAAATAAAACCCACGTATATACCAGAATAGAACAATCAACTTTGAATGAAGCAAAAAATAATTAGCTTAAAATTCTAAAAAAAATTTTTTTAAATTAAATAAAAAAATAAAAATAATAAATTTGTTAAATTAACAAATAAAAATTAAAAAAAAAATAATAAAAAAAAATTTTTTTTATTCATTTATTCATCGAATCATAAGGGATATGTTTTCTTTAAGTTAAATTTATGGGGAAAATTAAAAAAAAATTAATTTTCCTAATTTTAAAGAAAAACAATTTTAAAAAAAAATATTTTTGAAGGGCACAAAAATTTAAAAAAAAAATTTAGAAAAACACAACAAAAATTTAATATAGTATTTTTAGAGTAGACAAATAAATTTATTTTAGGCAATTTTATTTTTAATTTATGTATATAGGTATTAAAAAAAAATTTTTTTAACACTTAAAAAACTTTCGAAAAAAATTATTTTCGAGCCAAAAAAATTTTTTTCTTCAAGTAAAAACAATTTAAGTGTTAGAAAAAATTTTTTTCCATTAAAACAAAACAAGTGAAATAAATAGCATAAATTTGTTTATTAAATTCATTAGAGTTTCAAAAAAAAATTTTTTTTTTAATTTTTTTCTCTAACTTTTAATTTTTTTTCAGTTTCAAAATTTCAATTCTTACAAGGACACACCGGATATTATAAAACTCTAATAAATTTGAAATTTGTTTTAATTTCAAAAAAAGGGAGAAATAATATTAAACAATTGACTTAATGTATAAATAATAATTTTCTTTTCTTTTAAAATTATTTTGTATATAATAAAAATGAGCCAAAACTTATATTTTTAAATAAAAATCACAAAAAAATCAAACAAACCTCCTCTATTCTCTCTCACAAAAAAAAATTAATTTTTTTTCAGCAAGGACATATTCCACCACAAAAAGTATTTTCATTCACAGTTGCTTAAAAATTTTTAATTCTCAAATGCTTTTTTGAATTTTTTAAAAAGGAAATAAAATTTAAAAAAAATTTTATTGACGTTGTTAAGTAGTCATTTACAATTTGATGCTAGCCAAGTTAATCCTTCAAAAAGACCACTTCCACCAATTGCACATGAAGGTTGGACATACCAATTACGAGAATGGAGTCTTCCTAAACCTAACCTTTCTTGTAATTCGGTTGGTTGTAATGCTGGAAAAATTTTTTTATTTCTTATGAATATTGCGTAAAATTCTCTCATAAAGGAAGCAAATGAACATGGGATCTAATTCCACCTCTAAAGTAATTAAAAAGCTAGTCCGCCCAAAAGTCTAAAACTTTGAAGTCCTATAACTTATCGTAATGAGGGTCAGGGGGAGAAAAGCCAAAAATTTCCAAATGATTATAGACCATTCTCTACACAATGATATAATTTTTAGTTCAAAATTTTTGGTCACGGTTCAAAATGTTCCCTATCTCAACTCGATTTATATTTCTCCTATTTTTGAGATTAAAAAATATAAAGAATCAGAAAGGAAAGGATAAAGATGAAAACCAACACATTCAAGTCTTATTAAACATGAAACTCATAGTTCTGAAAGCTTAGATTCACGCTCATACAACCCCTAACGCTCTATCTAATTTATCCCCACACTTCTAAAATTAAATTAAAAATTAAAAATACCAACCTCCAGGCAAGTCCTGTTTATTCGCAAATATCAAAATTGCTGCTTCCCGCATTTCACGGTCATTAACAATTTTGTGCAATTCATGCCTAGCTTCATCAATCCTTAATTTGAAAATTAGATATGTTCATATTATATGAAGCATAGGAATCCCCCCTTCCCTTCCTTCTATTTTCCCTATTTTACTTCAGACCAGGACCTTAAGTACCCAGGACTGTAACTTAGGATTCGGTCGTTGAACTGGACCGGATTCTGGGCCTAAAGTTCAGGAAAACATGGGAAAACACGAAACACGGTTCTTTTTGGGTACATAAAAAATCAAGACACAGGCCCCAGCACAGCTCAATTCCTACTGCCCACAATTAAAAATGGATGGGGGAAAATAGAAATAATCCCAAGATTCAAAAAAAACCTGTCAACATCAGCAGAATCTACAACAAATATTAAAGCTTGCGTGCCAACATAGTAATGCCTCCAAAGTGGCCTTATTTTCTCTTGACCTCCAACATCCTTTAAATAATTTAAAAAATAAAAATATACTTAAAAACCACATACCCACACACTGAATTTAATATTTTTATAAGTGACAGTCTCCACATTAAAGCCGACCGTTGGAAGTGATTTAATTGATTGGCCAAGTTTCAATTTATACAGAATACCTGAAAATATTGATTTTTAAAAACCTCAACCAACATTAGTCACTCGGAGCCCCGTTTGGTCAGACCAAAAATCCCTAAAACCCTCCTGTAAACCCCACAAAACCAAAACCAGTCCCAAAATCATTACAAGTTTCCACCCAACTCCCATGAACTTCAGAACCCCTCTTAAATTATAAAAAATCCAAACTTGTATCCCATCTCCCCTCACTCAGTCATCGGCTCTATCTGAAAGGAGGTGCGGGATCATATTTTTTCCTCTTTCCTTACACTAGTTAGTCTACCTTTCATTTTTCCTTAATATGTATGAAAAAATGGTCAGCCTTTCTTCCTTCCTTATTTTACCCAAACTCCTTATGGCATATTCAAATAAAAAAGGTCATCTTTTATCATTTTTGAATCGTGTCAGGCTAATTTAAGAAAAGACAAGACACGGACTATACCGAAACACAAAACAGAAAACACCGTCTTACAAAATCAAGGAACGACCAAATATCAGAAAGACCATGACACGGAATGGCCAAAAACTGACCGAAGATCTGGTCCGTGATTTGGTAAGACGGTGACTTTTACAATTTGTTTTGTATTTCATCTTCTGTCTGTTCGTCCTGACTATGGCATTGAGAAAAAAATAATCCTTTTCTTATTAATGTCTCTCACATGAATATGCGACAGGGAAAATTAAGGGTGAGGTAAAGACTGACCATTTTTTCATATTAAGGAAAAATGAAATGTAGACTGACTAGTGTAAGGAAGGAGGAAAAAATATGATCCCGCACCTCCTTTCAGATAGTGCCCAGTCATCTAACGTAATTTAAAGGCTCTCGTTTGTATAAAATCTATCAACTACCTAAAGCCCTAGATTTACATTAGCATTCAAAGTCAAGCTTATTCCGTCCAAAAATTTCCTAAACCCCCAGGAAACCCTACAAAACCAAAAATATCTCCAAATCATTACAAGTCCCCACCCACCTCCCATGGACTTCAAAAAGCAGGTACAGCCCAAGTAGGCATGCAGCCATAACGGCGCCAAGCCATAACTTGCTTCATTATTTCCGAATCTTACTAAATTTAGTATCGAACGATTCCTCTCATCGAGCTAAAGGGATTGGTACCAAAATTAATAAGGGTCAAAAATTTTCCAGCAAGTTATGGCTTTGCGCCGTTATGGTCGCGCGCCTACTTCGATGTTCCTCTTAAAAACCCCTTTTAAATTACAAAAAAATCCAAACTTGTTTTCCCTGCCGCATCCAATCCAAGCATCAATACCCGTAATTCTCTCTTTCCAAAAAGTTTAGTCAAGATTTTTCCCATTTGCCTTTAAAAATTAAAAAAAATTTTATTAAAAAATGTGTCAAAAACGCGCAAAAAATAGGGCAAATTAACGAAGAAAAATATCTACACAAACTAAAAAATCAATAAATTATATTTAGTCACTCTCTCAGAATTTATAAGAAAAAGATGAAAAAATGCGCTTTTAATTCCGGTTGGTTGAGCAATTTTTTGCATAAAAACTTGCATTTTTCTAATTGCGGAAGTGTGAAAACAATGGGGGAGAAAATAAACTTTAAAAAGACACCCAAAAGATCACCAGAATAATTAAAATAAACTTGAAACCAGAATTATAAGAATAGAATATAATAAACTTGAAATTAGAGAAATAGTACATAAATTAAAGAGAAATATAAAATCAGAATTTTTAGGTAAAAAATTAACTTAAAACAGAATTATTTAAATAAACTTGGAATTTATTATAAAATAAACTTGAAACCAGAATTATAAGAATAGAATATAATAAACTTGAAATCAGAATAACTTAAACTTAAAATCAGAAAATAAACTTGAAATTAGAGAAATAGTACATTAATTAGGGAAAAATATGAAATCAGAATTTTTAAATAAAAAATAAACTTGCAATCAGAATTTAAAAATAATTCAAGTTTAATATTCTGATTTGTATTTTTTAGTTAGCAGGCGGAATTATAAAAATTCTGATTTATACTGCAAGTTTATTAAATATAGGTATTCTGGTGATCTTTTGGACTTGTCAATTAAAGTTTAATTAAAAATAAGGTAAAAATAAATTAAAAAAGTATATAATAGGCATTAAAATAGCCAAATAATTTCTGTAAAAAATAAAAAAAATAAATTTTTTAAACAAAAAAAAAATTAAAACAAAATAAAAACAAAATTTAACCTATAAATTGTATAAACAATTAGAAAATAGAGAGAAAATGGGGGAAATTAATTTAAAAAATTTTAATGACCTCATTTCAAGACATATTTAGGGGTGAAAAAATAAAATTCGAGTCTCTAACATTAAAGGAAGGGTAATTAAAAAAAATAAACTAATTAACTGATAATTCTTACAAATCTAGAAAGGTTCTCAATATCCACCCCAAAAATTAAGAAAAAAAATTTTTTAACCTTAAAAATTGAAAATTTATTTATTTTTAAGGCATGAAATGAGATTTCTCTCTTTCAAAAAAATCATTTTTCCACCTCTTATTTCCCCCCACCAAATTACAAATTAATATATAAACCATCCCAAAAATTAAAAACATTTTTTATAAACTTAGAAATTGAAAGATTAATTTTTGGGGTATTTTTCCTCCCTCCCAACAACAAAATTATTTCCCTCCAATATTCTTTTTATTTTCTAATTTATTATTACTTTCCACCAAATCTAATTTATCCAACATTCTCGGAATATTATCAGTTTCATTCAAAACAAAAGATCTAAATAAATTATTTCTAAACCCATCATCCACTAATCCATAATTCCCCAAATGCCCAAATTTTGCAGAGCCGTGAAGAAAAATTCTCAAAAGTTCGACTATACGATTATCATCAAAATTATAACGAAGGTGAACGTCTTTTCTGTTTAAATGTGTCTGAAAAAATAAAAAAAAAGAAAATAAAGTTTATTTAAATAATAATCCAGGTTTATTTTTACCCTACAAATTTTCTGCTTAAAAAAATCAAAAAATGAACTTGAAATCAGAAAATAAATTTAAATATTAAAACTAGGGTTGCCAAAATGGACCGACTCGGACCGAAAGAACGAGTCGGGCCTAGATGTTTGGCCCGAGAAAGACTCGTACCGGCCCGTCTCGATAAAAACAAGCTCGAAAAAATGCCTCTACCGTCGGCTTGAATCGAAAACGGCAACCCTAATTAAAACATAAAGGTATATACTTTGTTCATATACCCCAACCCCTATTTGAGAGTTTTAAATTACTTTTTCTCTTTTATTCTTATTCGTTTTGTTTTCAACGAAATGGTCAACTTTCCTTCTATGTTGATTTTTTCTGTTGCCGTATATTTTTTTTCTTCTTGGTAAATCTGCCTTTTACTTATATGTTTGAGGGGAATTAATGATTGACAGTAAAAAAGAAAAATTAATCTGAGGCTCTAACAGGGATGGGGTGGGATATGAACAAAGTACCAATTTAATAAAAAAAATTATACCAACGGCCTGAGCAAAATGAATCGATTAGCCCTCAAAAGTAATTTGTTTGGATCATTTCTGTTCAAATATATTCTCGAAATATTTAAAGAATTCAATTTGAGCAAAATTAAGAGAGAGAGGAAAGTTGCAAAGACAATAAAATAGCCAAATATGCCAAGCTGAAAATTTTTTTTTGAAATTTTAAAAAATTAAAAAATGCCGTAGTTTTTGATTCCAAACATGACAAAAAAATTTACTCTGTGGTTAAGTGGGATACGCGTTAGATTAAGGGGTCAAGGTTCGAACCCTTCCCGGGTTTTTATTTTTTAAAAATAATTAAAGGTTCCAAGGGAAGTTTTTGATTCCAAACAAAACAAAAAAATTTTAGTCTGTGGTTAAGTGGGATACTCGATAGATTTGGGGACCAAGGTTCGAACCCCTTGTGGGTTTTTAATTTTTAAAAAGATTATTAAAGCTTTTAAATGGTAAATATACAAAATAAAAAATTTTTAAACCCCTAGAAAAAATTTCAAACCCCTAAAAAATTTTTTTGAACCCCAACCCCCTAAATATTTCAAATTTTAACATAAAAAACCTTACTAGAAGCATATCTCGATGTAATTTAACACTAAATTCATCAGTAAATTTTCCATTCTTTTTATAATCAAAAAACATGTGTGTAGTAACCACAATAATAAAGCAAAATATGAAGCGGAAACAATTTGAGAATAAATTTGACAATGGAGAATTGTAGGCAATACACCACTCTTTTGGGTTAATCTTGTCTTTTTGATAGAAGAAGTTGACTACATCTTGATCGAAAAATGAAAAGTGTCCATACTGGAAGATAAAAAATAAACTTTTTTAGTATATTGCAAGGTCGTAGCTAGAGGAACTGAAAATCCCCCCTGAAATGGGGGAAAGGGGAAAAATTGGTAGAATGATGATCGCCAATCATAAATTTTTTTTGACTATGACCGTCCAAAAAGATAAATGGAAAAAAATTTTGAGTTCGGAACACCTAAGTAAACGCCAAAATTATGGCGCAGACCCCATGCTAGCTGCCCTCCGAAATCGACCTACCTTACCGAAATCGACCTACCTTACCCAATTTGCTACTGGCAATTTTTTATTGTACATTGGACTTTCATTGGCGTATTGGTCCGAAACCCCTAATCCAAAAACCAACATTTTTTCACCCCGTTACATCCCTGGAATAGACCAAAAAGGTAACATTAAGCATAATACCGGGCCCTCCAAAATTGGAAACCTCCAATTACAAAATAAAATATATTTACCAATGCTCGCATCCTTAAAAATCCTCTGTAGCAACGCAATACACAAAAATTGACAATTTGTAAAGGCTTGAAAGCCACAGACTTTAAAGTTCTGTTAAAAAAATTTTTTTTTAATAAAAATAAAAAAAAAACCTTGAAATTGTTCTATTCACATTTTGAATTGAAAAATAAGAATGACAAATGTGTAAAGTCTTTGACCGACGATAATTATTTTTTAATAAATAATTGAGCATCTAAAACGTTTTTTAGAAAAAAAATTTTTGCGGACTGAGGAAATTTTGCGGATTAAAACAAAAATCTTGTTTAATAGTCAAACCTCTTTTTAAGATAATTCAATATAAGAGACTTATCTTATGACAAGGTGTAGCTAAATAGAGGGCATCGCTTATTGTCAGACTTTCCTATACACTAGTCAGCCACTTTTTAGGTTGGTTACTAGTAGAGATCGAGACTTTTGAAAAGCCTGGGCCTGTTCCTGGGTTTCGAGTTTGATTTATTGACCTGTGCCTTTAGTCCAAGGAAAATCCAGGCCCAGGAAAAACCCAGGAAGGTCAAAAAATGCCTGGGCCTGGACTCTGGGTACAGGAAAAACCCAGGCCTTGGTCCAGGCCCAGCCCGATCCCAGTCTCTAGTCACTAGAAAAACAATTTTTCCATTAACAAAAAAACAGGTTGGTAACTGAAAAAATGTTTCTTAATAAAAATAGGTATTACGTATAATGTAAATATTCAGTTAAAAAAATTTTTTTTCGTCAACAAAAATTTTTATTTATTTTTTAACAACAGAAAAATATACTTTTTAATTTTTAATATTTTCCCAAAAAAAAAGAGTTCAACAGCAATACTTCCCTCATTTACTTCTTAAATCCTCAAAAAAATCCATTTATTGACGAGCAGCACCAGCAGGTTGTTGCTGCTGTTGTTGACCACCACCCCCTTGCGCTTGACCTTGCTGTTGCTGTCCCTTCACGTCAACAGGCAAATTGAGTTGCTAAAAAAATTAAAAAAAATTTTTTTAATCTTAAAGAGATGCAATTACACTTTGACGACTCAAAGTAGAGCAAATGAACAGGACAATTTTTTAAACAAAAAAGAAGCAAAAAATAGTTATCCTCACCCTAACACATCTTGAGATAGAAAATTCTCCCCAAAAAACTAACTGACTGATAGAAAATTAAGAAACCTTTTTTTAAACCCCCCAACTAACCTAATCAAAAATGAATAAACAACCAAAAAAAACTAACCAAATAATCAACCATTTCCTTAGTCTCTTGATCAACACTAATAGTTGGGTGTTGAGAAGCATCAAGATAGGAAACTTCAGGAACCCAATTATCACGACGCTCACGCTCTTCTTCTTGCAATTTGATAGAAATTCCACGGACAGGTCCCTTTTCGATACGTTTCATCAAATGGGTGATAAAACTGAAAAAATATTAAAAAAAAACCATATAGCTGGACACTTAAATTTTGTTAATTTTCGCTCTAGAAAATTATGGGGCAGGTATTTGAGGGGAATTAAGGACAAACATGAAAGTATTTTCTAGAAACGGGTACACCCCAAGGTAAAGGCGAGCTATAACTTTGTTTAAAATTGTCGAATCCGGGAACAAATTTTGAATAGTTCTACCTTGGCACCCTGGCCTGTTCCTCTAGAATCTAACTTAAGGTTGTTAGAAACTAAGGCTGTTCACGTCCGATTAATTGATAACCGTAGCGGCTCAAATACCTCAAAATATTTTCAAATGATCTAGAGATGAGCCCGTGGCGCGAACTTTGCGGACCCGAAATTTGCGGAACGAAAGTTGCGGACCCGAAGGTTGCGGACACGAAGTTTGCGGACCTGATCTTTGCGGAACCAAGATTTTAGGACCGACACTTGAGTAAAAAGGAAAAATTAAAAATTTTATTTTTCGAAGATTCCGGCAGAGTTTACCATAATCCGTACCGGATTCAAGATTTTTTCTTGGTTTTTCAAAATTTTTATCAATTTTTTATCTTAAAATTATTTCATAATTTAAATAATCGAGAAAATTCCTTAAAGAAATCATTTATATGGCCATTTCATAAGGCTATGATGCCTGAATTTATTCAATTAACGCCGCAGGCTAAAATTTTTGAAATTTACGAGGTTCAGCAGACTCTATTGTCGGTCCGCAAATTTTTGGTCCGCAAATCTCGGATCCGCAAAATTCGTGTCCGCATAGTTCGGGTCCGCAAAGTTCGGGTCCGCAAATTTCGGGTCCGCAAATTAAAATCCGCAAAATTCGGCGCGCCGATGAGCCACCACAAGTAACAATTAACAGGACGTGAACAAAACCTAAAGGACTCCAGAAAATTTTAAACATTTAAGGGACCCCCATTTTCATTTCTATCCTTTTTCAGCTACATCACTAACACTTCTCCCCAATTTTAGTTTAGTTGGCAGAGGATAGAAGGGAATTAAACTTGGCCTCCCAAAAGTTCAAAATTTTCCCCTAACCTCAGGGCCCGTAGAATAAATTCGGGGTTGGATAACCCAGTTAAATAACCCGGTTAAACAACCCGTGGGCAAATAACCCTTAGCTACGGGTTAAAATCGGTAGAATAAATTCAACCCCGAGTTAAGGGTTATTTAACACCTAACTAAGGGTTATTTAACTAGTTGAGTTACTGGGTTATTTAACTCTTTATATTTTATTGCCAAACCCATTTCGTATTAACTGTTTAAAAAGAGATTGACCCTTCCTGCCAGGATTCTCATGTGCTTAGGTAAATATTCTATTGGATCTTTAAACCTAGTATTATAAAATATTTTAGACAGTCCCCTCTTTGGGAGTATTTTAAAGGAAATTAAAATTTTAAAAGAAAATTAAAAAATCAGATAATTAAAAAAATAGAAATTAAAAAATTGGAATAGAAATTTAAAATTTTTTTAAAATTTTTCAATTTAATAAATGTTTTAATTTTTTAGAAATTATGCATAATGCGCATGCTACCCTGCCCCCTAGTAGGGTTGCAATTTGCCCCTTACCTGCGGGTTATTCAACCCGGGTAATTAATTTATTCTACCGGTAATGTTACGCGGGTCAGATAACCGGGTTATCTGCCCCGGTCATTTAACCCGAAGCTAGGGGTTTGAATTTATTCTGCGGGTTACGGGTTATTTAACCCCAAGGTAGGGGTTAAATGCCCTTTACCCCGAATTTATTCTACGGGCCCAGAATACACCCTTCCCCCCCCCCCTCCTCCCAAAATAACCCCTTAAAAAATAAAAAAAGAAATACCCAGCAATTTGATTACGCATCCGTTTGCTAGGAATAACCGCAATTTCCTCACAAATTCGTTTGTTCACATGAAAATCATAAGTCAAGCGTGTATAATATTTTTCAATAATAACACGAGATGCTTTCTTGACAGTTTTGGTGCGAACACGGCCCATTTTTTATTTGAAATATAAAAAGCTTTTTTAAAACAACTACTGAAAATTGAAATTAATTTTAGTTTAATGAAGAAAAAAATCAAAAAAATTTTCAATTGAAAAAATGTAACAAGAATAAAACAAAATAAAAAAAATGTAAAAATTTTAATTCGACAAAATGTCACATTTTTCACTGCTTGACATTTTTACATTTGAGATTTCGATAGAAAAGTGGAAAGAAGAAAATCGTTTGGGTAACAAAAAAAGTGGTAAAACAAATAGAGAACGAATATGGACGGGATCCCGCGCGGGATTTTGCGGGATCCCGAAAGAAGAAAACCGCAATCCCGCACTTTTTTCGATTTGCGGGATTTATCCCGCGGGATTTCGTCCCGCAAATATTAAAAAAATCCCGTTCCGGGATCCCGCAAATACGATTTTTCCGACCTCTACAACAAATTGAGTGAGGAAAATTGCTCTCCCTGGCTACCGTAACGGGGTGGAGCTTCGGTAATAGTTCGGATGAGACCCCCCCTTTTTTTCTTTTCTATTGTATTAAAAAATTGTCAGTTAGTCGTAGGTTATAGAACTCGTCGAGCTGTGTCGAATGACACCAAAATCAACCCCTGGTTTTAACTTTGGGCCGAGATACAGACAAAAACCCTGCGCAAATAGAAAGGTTTTGCAAAAGCGTCTCTCGACTACAATAGGATTACTTTATGTCATAACTTCGTCAAATTTCTTTCAATTATGTTGATTTTGATGTTATTCGAATCAGCTCGACAAGCTCTTTCGAATGAGTTATTATTTGTTTAATCGAATTTTTAGCCCAAAATTGAGCTTGGTCCACCCTTTTATTTTTCAATTTTCGAGGGTCTGTATCTCGGCCCAAAGTCAAGATAGGGTGATGATTTTGGTGCCATTCGACAATGCTCGATGAGTTTTATAAACTAACAATAAGACTGACTGACCATTTTTTATATGTACTTTTAGAAAGGAAAAAGGAGGGGTCTAATCCGAACTATTACCGGAGCTTCTTTAAAAATCGAACGGGAGGGATCCTGCGGGATTAATCCCGGAGTCCCTAAAATCTTGTTCACAAATTCCGAAACTTTTTTTGAGTCCTATATCCGCCCTGGATCCCGCAAGGGATCCCTCCTCTACTCTAGCAACAAAATCTCTCTCCGAGAAATTAAGTGTCATCGTGGCTAAGTCGGAAACGTTTCCTTTTTTCCTCTTAAAGGTTCGAACCCTCTGAGGGGGAAACAATTTCTATTTTGAACTAAAAGTAAATTTCAATAAATAATTCACTCAAAAATTATTTTAAAATAAAATTACAATTAATTTTCTGCTAGAAAAGATTCTAATAAAGCTGAGTTTACTCCCCACTCAACAATTCCGTTAGAATCATTCCTTTGGTTTTCCTTGGTTTTTTCATCTTCCGGCAATCCACAAGGCCGATGGAAGGCCGAATTAAATTTGGATATATTTGAGATTGAAGCACGTTCACGGACTCGTTTTAATAGTTCAGAGGAGAGAGGCCCCAATGGGTGTATTTTTCTTTTGTAGGGAAGTATTGAAGTGTTGCACTGTTCAAACAAGTCTTCTGTAATGGGGAGTTCATAACTTAAAAGAAAATTATTTTTGAAAAAATAGATAAGAAAGATAAAAATAGATAAAAAATATCCATAAAGTTCAACTAATGAATTCCCAGTCATAGAACTGCAACGGAGGTGTGCGGAAACAGTTTTTAAAAAGCGAAAACATAAAAGATGAAACATCAAAAAAAGGCATACCCCTGGCTGTACGAAGGATGATAGGCCTAAAACTACATCTCTTCTCTGTGATCGAGTACACAAATTTAGGAAGAAAATCGCAGGCCCGGGTCTTGTGTTCGATTCATTAATTTTGTAGGATTTGGCAGGATCTGGGGTTTAGGGGAAACATGGAAGCTTAAAATATTAAAAATTAGGAAAAAAATCAAAGAATTGAGGAGATACGTTTTGACCTTGAGCCATGAAAAATAGATCCTTGGAAACACCGTCAGGAGAATCAACTGACCCAATTTCATCTCTACAATGAAATCCTGACATTTCCTAACTTCATCCTACCCAAAGCCAATTTTATACTAACTATAAAAATCCAAACCTTTTAACAATTTCTTCTTCTTCTTCATTTGTTTCACTTGTACAAACAATTTGTATTTCATTAGAATCCATTAATGCTTCATTTTCACTCAATTTTGCCTCACTTCCACTCATTTCAACATCATATATTGAAGTCTTTTCTTGTTCAATTTCATTCTCGTCAATATTATTTAACTCATTTTGACTTGTACTGTTTTGCCCACACGACGAGTTTTCTTCAATTAAAGCAAATTCGAGATTTTCTTCGCCAAAATATGACATTTTATTTAAATTCTGAAACAATTTTTGTTTAAAAATGGAAGATAAGGGAATCTCATATCTATGGAGCATTGCCATTTGGAACCCAGAATTAAAAAAAATTCAGAGTAGACACCAGAAATCGAGATTTTTGAAAAACATGGGCCTGTCACTTGAACTCTGGGTTTTATTTAGTGGCCTGGGCCGGATCCTTGGCCTGTAGTCCAGGAAAAATCCAGGAAGGTCAAAGAAATGCCTGGGCCTGGACTCTGGGTACAAGAAAAACCCAGCCTTGGTCCTGACCCAGCTCGATCACTAATAGACACGGCTGTAAATAGTGTTTGTAATTAAAGGTCCAAAAATGGTTTGGATTAGGGAAGGCAAAATCCTAATCCTATCCCAATCCCTTCCATTTTCCAATTCTGTCCCAAATTTACCATTTCCCAATTCCCTATCCTTTCCCTCAAAACCTTGGAAAAGGGTAGGGAATTTTACCCTTCTTTTAATAAATCTAGGCTATCGTGAATTGAGATTTTTCGAAATCTCTGGTACAGCTCCCAATAGTTCGGGCCCTAGTTGAGATTCTTCAAATTTTCTGAAGTGAAAACAAAAGCTAACATAAGAGTCACTGAATGCGAAAACTATTTTTCACTTTTTCTGTAAATTTAGCCCAAACCTATTTCCCAAGAGATTATCTATCTTACAATAGACCCCAAAAAGGAACACCACTAATAAATCCCTATCAAAAAATCAATTTTAAAATTTAAATCAAGTACAAAATAGCTTGAGACTATTTAAAAAATAAAAAAATTTTTTGATTAAATTTTTAACAATTTTTTTTTAAAATCATTAACACCTTTCTCCGCCCAAAAAAGAAAACAAATTAAAATAATCAACATATAAACCTCTCTTTTTTCCTTAACATTTCTTTTCATCTCCCCTTCAAAATTCCTTAGAAACGCAATTTAGTAAAAAGCCATTTGCTCTTCCCAGCCTTATATTGCGTTTCAAATTCTTTTTTGATGTGCAACTTTGCCTTACGTTTTGATTTTGGATCTGGAATTGAAAGGGATTTTTAAGAATACATAGTCCGATTATTTCCTTCCTCAAAACGTCGTTTCTGTAAATGGTCAGGGTGGAAGGACTTGAATTATTGTCGGCCTCAATCCGAACCTAAACCCCTCAAAGATACCCAGCTGGATTTGTTCGGTTAACCAAAGAATTTGTTGAATTAACATTTGCTATACTAGTAAGACTTCCCAATAATAAGAGTTCTTCCCAACAATCTTCACATGGAATGGAATTCAGTCAATCAATCAGTCAATAATTGGAACAAAAAATTTGAAACACAAAATTCATTGGTATTTATTAAAACATGAAATTCCCCCCTAGAACGTCTTATAATACCTAAAGCTTAGAATACCTAACCTTGGAAAAAAGCTTTTACGTGTTACAAGATTTACAAGATCATACCGTTCTCCCCCACAACTCCAAATCAAATTTTTAATTCTTTATTGACTGATTGAATGACATAATATGGAAATTAGGCCCGATTGAGAAAGGAATAAACCGGAAATTAACAAAAATTTTAAACCTTTAATCGACTCCTTGTTAACAATACTTTTGTCAAATTCAGCCTCAAAAGTACAACGAGTTGGAAGCAAATGTTGAAGAGATGTAACTTTAACAAATGGACGCATTGCTATACGTTTTGCAATTTGTTTTTTGCCCATTCGTTTGACTACTTTACGTGGATATCTGTTGAAAAAAAGGATCCTAACTTTTGTGAACGAGAAAAAATCCAGTCCCAAAAAATATCCAAAATTAGGTAATTGGTTAGCCTTCACTATAAACTTGGGGTAAGACGAGACAAATAGAATAGGGATAGGAAAATCGAAAATAAGTCCAAAAACCTATCCGCTTATTATTTAAATTAAGGTCCGGATTTAGTAATCAATCAAAGCTCTAGCTTGGTTTTTAGGGTTGGGGGCCCGATCCGGCCCAACCCGAAAAATCGAGTCAGGCATTGAATTTTGGCCCTGAAAATGACTGACGAGCTGGCCCGAAAGAAATGAGGCCCGGAAAAATGACTCGGATGTTGGTCCGACTCGAAAACCCCAATCCTATTGGCTTTGCTACATTTTCACTAGTCCCAAATTCAGAAACCCTTTCTGGCCTAATCAACCTTAAATGGTCCCAAAACGGGTGCTAGAATTAATTTAATGCTTTTTCCTGCTTAAGAATCATATGGAAAGGGGAGGGGGATCCAAAAGAGGGGCGATCCAACAATTAAAAAGAAACACAAACTTGTCAATCCCAGCAACCAATCCATGTCCATAAGGCCTCTCAGAAGAACCATCATCATAACTTTTGATCACAACAGCTTTGCGTCCAGCAAATCGACCATTAAGCATGATCACAACTCGTCCAGGCTTCATAATCTTTCCCATTTTTTTTTAATTTGAAGAAATTTAGAATAAACAAAAATTATCTAAAAAGATTTTTTTGAAAAAATATTAAAGAATAAACGTTAATGATAATGAGAGGTAGAGATCGGACCGAGACGAGATCTCGAAAAAAATCTCGGTTATCGAGATCGATATTTTTCGAGATCTCAATTCTTGAACGACAAAATTTTGAGGTCTTTGAGATTTTTCGAGAATCGAGATCTCATACGCCCCTCCCAGTGCGGTCTCTAATGAGGAGCAAGGGCGTAGCCAGGGGGTCGATTTTAAGGGGGAGTGATTTTAAGGGAGGGGGGGTCTCTCAAATTCCCCGACTTTCGGGGACTGGGGACATCCCTACTAAATCCCCTCCTAAAAATTTTCACTTTTTCCCATTTCGTGGAGGGAGGGGTGGCTTTAGCCCTAGAAGCCCCCCCCTGGCTATGCCCTCGAAGCCCCCTGGCTATGCCCTTGATGAGGAGTTCAAATTCTTCCCTTTTTCCCATTTCGTGGGGGAGGGGTGGTGCTTTAGCCCCAAAAGCCGCCTGCCCCCCCCCCGGCTACGCACTTGATAAGGAGTTCAAAAATACAAAATCCCAATATTTTTTTGAAATTAAAATGTAAAAGTTAAAAAAAATAAAAATTAGAAAAAACAAATAAAATAAAAAATGTTGTTGAAACAAAAATAGCTAAACGATGTTAAAATTAAAAAAAAACTTTTATTGATTTGTCAAAAAATATTTATGTCAAATAAACGAAAAAGAACCAAGCCTTTCTTTCTTCATACAAAAAACGGGATCTACAGGTTCTAAACCTTCATATCCCAACAAACTGAGTCCTGCCAAACCAAAAACTGTGTGAAATGGATCAGACATATCTTCTGGACGATCTGCTATTCCACCAGATTCGTCATCCTGACTAGCTAGGATAAAACGAACGAGTGAAGTTTTGTCGACCCAATGAAGCCGGTTGAGAATAGCCAGTGAAGAAAGGACCCACCTTGAAAATTATAGATTAAAAATTATTATAAGTTTGTCAAAGGGAAGATACAAAGCGCTGCTAAAAGCACTGCAGAAATTTTTTCAAAGGAAACGAAAACTTCGACTATTCGAAACAAAAGCGATTAGGCGCTGGTCTAGTTTATGCGTCTAATGAACTTTTATGCGTCCAATCAAAAGAAAATTGTATTTTGGAATAGCCCTAGACCCTGTGGCGTGGGTCCCAAACATAAAAAAGTTCAATGGAAGTTCACAAGAAAGTCAAACAATCGCCCGCGATTCTTCGAGTCGATTCGGAATGAAAAACACTATTCAAGATTGGAAGCGTAACATAAAAGGGTGGTTAAGTAACATGATAATGTTAGGTCCTGTAGATTATATTTGCGTAAATGATTCGACAAACATCGAAATCGCTAGTGCAAGGAAGGTTAATCGAAGCAAATTATCACATTAACTTTAAGCAAAAATTGCAAAGGCCTAACCCCAAAGGTCCTCGAGGTAAAAAGTAAGGAAATAAAAGTAGTCAACAAACCATGAATAACAAACATCAGGTAACTTTTCTGGTCGTCCACACAACCCTCCTGAAGGACATTGACGTTCTGCCAACCATTCAGCTGTTCTTTCAACATTAATTAATTCAAGACATCCACAAATAGCTAGAGCACCAACACAGCAATAAACCTGGAGAAAATAAAAGTTGAAAGCCTAAAATCCAATAAAAACCTGTCCAGAATGACTTTCAGAGCCTGGTCTAGTTCCAAAACCTCCATCAAAATTGTAGCAACTTTTGATAAAGTCAATAGCTTTTGGAATATTTACAGCATCCAAACATTCCAAAAAGTGAAGTGAGGCTAGTGCACAAAATGAAAAACGAGTATCGACTTCTCCAGCACTATCACCAACAAAACTGCCATCTTCTTGTTGTAATGATTTAATGAAGGAAACTGTCTTGTCTTTGTCAATCTAAAAGAGATTGAGTTTAGATTAACGAAGGCGTCTGGATGTAAACTTTAAAACTCAGGAAATATTTAACGGCCAAAGATGGAAATAAGGGACCTTATTGCTGCTGACTGGGGTTAGGGTTTTCGAGTCGGGTCGACGTTCGAGTCATTTTTTCGTTGTTGTGACCGAGTCGTTTTCGGGCCAAAATTCGATGCCCGACTTAATCTTTCGGACCGCCCATAAATTATTGCTGACTATACCCAGAGGTTGGACATGGGGACTTAAAAACACAGCGTGAAGGTTTTGACTCAACAACATTAAACCTATTCATTTATCCCGATTCACTATTTTGACATCTTGAACAAAAAATTAAAGGGGGCAAATGGAGCATATTGGATGACTGACCTCGTTTCGGACACGCCCTTGCAGGGAAGGATAAACCAACGGCCTTATATTTAAAAAATTTTCAAGTTAAGTGCCTCCAATGGACATGTCTAGCAGTGAAGTCAAACCCGCCGACTTATCTCAACAAATCTCCGGTATCAAATTCTAGGTTTCATTCCCCACGATCCGGACAACATTCAAACTCAAACCCTTCAGAAAGTGTTACGATATCAATTAACCCCCAGACCCACCCCTATAAAATCTAAAAAAACAAAAATATACAATGTCCAGCCTCCCAAGCGTTATCGCTATTTGAATTGCGCTCAAAGTATGCAGCAAGTGCGGGTCGTGTCCCTCAGCTGGGGCATAGCCCCCATTTTCTCTTTTACTCTTTTGGATATAATCAAGAATGAACTCCTTGTCAACTTCCTCAATCGCCCCAAGCAAGTCCATCGCCGTCAAACACCAGTACATTCCGCTCATTCTTAAATATTCCGCCATTATGTATTCGTAAGAATCCCTGTCACGGCTATATCCTAGAAGGAATTCTTTGTGCTTCTCTTTGAGTAACTCTGTTGGGGCATTTCTGGGAATTGCTATGTCTCCTGAAAATTTTTTGGGGGAAAATTGGAAATAAAAAAAAAAAACTTCGAGCAATGTTCCAAACAGAAGCTAGACTCATTTTGATTAATTAAACAAGTAGAAATCTTGTAGAGATAAATTAAAAGTCAATCGAGAAAATTGGAACAAATTTGGAACGAAATCTGTTAAGAATAAGTTGTTTCCTGAAAAACGACATTTTGCAAATACGACATTTTGCCAGCAAGGCTAAAATCCTACATTTTGACAACAGTCTTATTGGCAAAACGAGGATTTATAGCCTTATTGGCAAAACGTGTTAGTGGCAATATATGGGAGCCGAATAAGCTCAGAAAATGTCTCAACAGGTTTGTCTCTCTTATTTAAACATGCTATCTCGCATACTCGCTCTCTCATTTTCTTTGACTTATTTGTTCGGTGTATGACCAAAATGAGGAGAGTAGAGTACAAGCTTCAGTAAATTCATCGTTCTTCCAGATTTTGTTGTGATAGACAGAGTAAGAGAAATGTTAAAGTTGCTTAGTACATAAGAGAGACAAAACCGGAACAGACAAACTTTTCCGGAAACTCCCCCATTTTCTCTATAATTCTAAGCCTTTAGACTGTATTAAAATACGACATTTCGCCAATACGTCATTTTGCCAGCAAGGCTAAAAGCCTACATTTTGACAACAGTCTTGTTGACAAAATGAGAGTTTCTAGCCTTATTGGCGAAATGTGTTATTGGTAAAATGTCTTTGACTCTACTGTCTTTAAAATTGGACGTTTTGTCTTAAATTAAATTTTTTCGTTTTTTAAATTCAAAAATTTATTTTTTTGCTTGTTTCGAAAAAATTTTTTTCTAGAAAAAACAAACAATAAAGGGAAGGACGTGGTAAAAATAGATAGCTTGCTTGTGTGTTCTTTCTTCTTTTACCTTATTTACTAATAACGTTAAGTAGTATATTTTTTTTTTAATTTAAGAGAGGGGAGATGGTCCGATTATTTTTATAAAAATCAGTCCTTTATGTTTTAACATTTTATTTTTTTGTTTTATTTTCCAAGTCAAGTGCAAACCTTTCTATTAATATTTTTAGAATTCTTAAGGAATTTTGAGGGGCAAAATTAATTTTTAAAGTTTGTGAGAGTATCGTTTCATTACCCGAAGGATCAAGTATTTCTAGATTTTTACAGCCTTTCAGAAAATCCAACTACGAATTAACTGCCTCATTCCTTTATTTATGCCATAAATCAATAATACCAACTTTTCAAGGCTCCACTAGGAAAACTTCAATTTCAAGACGTCCGCCTCCCCCATGCCCCCTCTGATTTCTTCACTTTTATTGATTCATGATTTTTTACTTTGGATATTTTTTGATTCTAATTAAAGTAAACAAAAATATAGGTGTAAAAATGTTGATGCTTATCGAGCAGCGATGTCACGGGCTCTCGATACCTGACCCGTGAAAAATTCCAAAACTCAACCTGACTTATTTCTCAACCCTGACATCCGTGTTATCGAGTACCAAAAATAAGGAAGAAGGTAGGAAGGGGGGGGGGGGAGACGAGAACGAAGCCTCTTTCTTTGTCCTCTTCTTCCTTAACACCCTCAAATTTACTTTTCTTTTTTTTTAGTTTATTTTCTTTAAATTCTTCGAAATTTTTCTAACTTCTAAACATCAAAGTCAATGTCTTCTTCAAACCGCTACGACTTGTTAATTTACGGAGCCTCTGGTTTTACAGGCCAATATGTGCTCGAAACTTTTGTTAAGAGCGAGGAATATGGCAAACTTTCAATTGCTATAGCTGGTAGAAGCTCGACTAAATTGCAAGATACATTAGCTAAAGTTGGGAAGTTGACAGGTTTTTTTTGAAATTTTCTCAGAATTTTCTCAAAAATTTCTTTAAGATAAGGATTTGTCCAAAATTCCGATAATTATTGCTGACAATGAACACGAAGACCAACTCGTTCAGATGGCCAAGCAAGCGAAGGTTATTGTCAACGTTGTTGGACCGGTATAGATTTTAATAGGGCGTAGTCTGGGGGTAGATTTCAGTGGGGGTAGATTTCACTCTCAAATTCCCCAACTTTTGGGGATGGGACCAACCCGGTAATAGTTTGGAATTCGCACCCTTCGTTTTTTCACCTTGTCGAATTCCAAACTACATATTACCACCAACCCTATTTTTTATCTTGGCATTTCGAAGGCGAGTTATTTACTTTGGCATTGTTATTAGGGTTCTAGGTGTGGGTTGTTTTGAGTGTTGTAGGTGAAAACAATTCACTTTTCTGGCTATTCCTCCTCCAAAATTTTTTTTTCATCTACCCCAGTTCAAGGGGCACTAACTCAGCCCCCTGGCTATGCCCTTTTTGATTTTCTGTTTTTTGTTTCTAATTTTTAACTTTAAATAGTATCGTCTTTATGGTGAAGCTGTTGTAAAGGCTGCTGTGGAGAATGGTTCCAGCCACGTTGATATCTCTGGGGAGCCTGCAGTATATTTTTTGTTTCTTAATTTCTAAGGGCATCTATGAGTTTAGGAAAGTCTAGAGTCTTACTAGCAAAATTTTGAGGGTCTTTGGTACTTCCAATTTCGATCATCTTGCCCCATAGTTTTTTATTTGAAACGTTAAGGAATTGACACTATCCGTTCTTTGACACTACCCGTTTTGGATAGGAACCTTTGATTTGCTCCATTCACTGGCCAATTTGTATGGGTCTAGAAATATAGTGAGGATACTGGGGTATGACTAACCTAGGCTTTTTTAAACTCTGACAAGGAAAGGTTGCGAGGTGTCCGATCCAAAGACGGTCGAGACCGGGCTCATTCGATAGAGAATGTGCCCTTTCTAGCAAGGATTTTGAGCCGTTTTTGCCCGTTTTTCTATCTGGCCAAGATATGGCTCTCCAAAGTCCCAAAATTTGGCATAATTTTTCCCCTTTAATATAAACTTTAAATAGTGTGAGGATAGGGCTTTACTTGTTGGAGTTGATTTGGTGCTGATAATGGGTGAGGAAATTTTCTCACGAAAGAGCTAAGTCTTTTCGTTTTACATTTTATTCGTTTTAGTGGATTGAATCAATGCAGATGAAATATTCTGAACAGGCTAAAGAGAAGGGAGTTTTTATTGTTAGCGCTTGTGGTTGGGATTCTATCCCTTGTGATATGGGAATGGAATTTTTGAAGAAAAACTTTGATGGGACTTTGACTTATGCTGAAACTTTTGCAAAGATTAATACTGGAGAATCCGTTAGTTTATTTATTTTTTTAAATTTATTTACATATAGGGTTGTGGGTCCGGTCCGAAAAATCGAGTCAGGCAATGAATTTTGGCCGTCTCGAAAAAAAGCGGTCGGGCCGGCCCGATAAAATGACTTGAACGTCGTCTCGACTCGAAAACCCCAACTCTATTTTTTATTCCTCCACTTGTCACCCAAAATTTGCTGCTTTGGGGGGTTGTCGGATTACCTCCTATTTTTCGATCCGAGGCCAAGCCCGACTTTTCTTTCAATTTGTAACACTCATGCTTGAAATAGGATGGGTCAGATTTTTTTGATTCGATCGCATTGCCCAATCAAGAAAATTCTGTAGACCTGACCCACAAACTGACCAAAGGCGTACCCAGAGAGAGCTAGAATGAGGTATGCCCCAAACCCCGGTAGCCCCCCTGCTATACCTTTGGAGCCGACTCGTTTTTTCCTCAATTTGCCTATCTCTGGTTCGAATAGCGATTCCGTACTTTTGGGTTTATCATATTTTTCTGGCTTCTCCAACACTGCCTTCCTTCAAATCCCTTCTTTTTTTGCCCGCACCAAATAAACCAAACATTTCTATCAAAATTAGGGTTATTCCTTCAATGCCGGCACTTACCAAACACTCATTCTTGGCATTTGGAAAGCTAAGGACGACGGACTTGGACGTATTCGTAAAGCTATAATGCCTGAAAAGCTGGAAAAGACTCGTTGGCGAGCACCAAAGCGTTCAACTTTTTGGTACAATGACAAATTAAAGTGTTATTGTCTTCCATTTTTGGGTGCTGATAAAAGCATTGTTCAACGTTCACAATATTTTGATGCTCAAATGGACAAGAAATTTCCGGTTTATTTTGAATTTTTCAGAAAAAAATTTTTTTTCAATTTCTAGGCAACGATAGAGACTTACATTTGTGTCAAAAGCGGGTTTTGGGCTCTAGCACTATTGGCGTGGCTAATGATCTTTCAAATTGCGGTCAAGTTTAGTTGGACTCGTAACATTCTTCAAAAATATCCGGACATTTGTTCTGCTTATATGTTTAAGAATAGTGGACCGGCACGTCAACAAGCGGAAGAGGTTGTTAAAAAATATATTTTTTATATAAGATTTTACTTCATTGTAGGATAAGGCCGTAGCTAGGGATGCTTTTTGGCAAGGGCGTAGCCGGAAGGTCGATTTCAGGGGGGCTAAAATGGGGTCCTTCTGGCTACGCCTCTGATGGAGGATTGACCCGGGGTTTGAAAATAATTTGCTTTGTATTGGGAGAGATATTATTTTGGCATATTCCCCACTCAATAGCCAATAAAAATTTATAAAAAAAAATATCTCTTAATTTAAGCATCTTGTTTTGGGTGTGAAACGAGATTTTGGACGAAAATATCAGTAATTAAGGTCTAAATTTTTGAACACGTCTCGCACGATTCTCATATGATTCACCAAGTTTAGTCTCTATGTTATAGCAAGGGTGTAGCCGGGCAAGGGCGTAGCCAGAGGGTCGATTTCGGGGGGGGGGGGGGGGGGCTAACACTGGGTGTGCGCAAAATTTTTGGCGTTTGCCTTGGCGTTCTGGACGCAAATTTTTTTGAACCATATTTTTAGTTTTTTCAGCGCCGCAGGCGAAAATTTTTTTAATTTTAGAAGGCCGTAGGCCAAAAAATTCACTTTTTCGGCGCCGCAGGCGCCAAAAATTGTGATTTTCAGCGCCGCAGGCGAAAATTTTTTGAATTTTGGAGCTCAAGAAGCCAGATTTCTTCCTTTTTTAGCGCCGCAGGCGAAAATTTTTTGAATTTTAGAAGGCCGTAGGCCAAAAAATTCACTTTTTCGGCGCCGCAGGCGCCAAAAATTGTGATTTTCAGCGCCGCAGGCGAAAATTTTTTGAATTTTGGAGCTCAGAAGCCAGATTTCTTCCATTTTAGCGCCGCAGGCGAAAATTTTTAAAATTATGAAGGCCGTAGGCCAAAAAAATTCACTTTTTTGCTAATTCTTCTCTTAATTTTTCTCCCCTTTCTCCCATTTCGGGGGGGGGGGGCTTTAGCCCCAGAAGCCCCCCCCCTTGGCTACGCCCTTGTAGCCGGGGGGGGGCAACGGCGTTAGTCAACTCTAGCTTGGATTCTTTTGATTATTTTAAAATACGGGGTAAGGGAGGGGGACAAAATATTATGAAAATTTTGTCTTTATTTAGTTATATTTTCCAATTAATTTAAAAATTTCACATTTTTCCATTTTAATTAGGCAACATTTGAATATTGGTTCTTCGGCACAGGTTGGAATGAAACAACAATTCCGCCACCTGTTGAAGAACAACCAAAGAAGAAAGTTGTTGTCCGGTGTGATGGACCTGATGGTAAGGAAAAATTCTTTTTTATTAAATTAAAATAATTTTTTTAAATTTTAAGCTGGTTATATTGCTACTTCTGGTTGTGTTTTGTCGTGTGCATTAACTATTCTTTCTGACGCTGAAAATATGCCAAAGCCTGGGTAAACAAAAAATTTTTAAATTGTTTTTGAGAAGAATTTTAACAGAAATTATTAAAAAATATATTTTTGGCAATAAAAAATTAATTTACCCTGGCAGGGATTCGAACCTTCAACCCTTTTCCCTTGGGAACCTAATATTTTCCCACTACACCAAAAAAAATTTTTTTAATTTTTAAAAATTATTTTTGAGGAGAATTTTAACAGAAAATTATCTAAAAAATAATTTTATGGCAATAAAAAATAATTTACTCTTGAGAGGGTTCGAACCTTCAACCCTTTTCCCTAGTGAACCTAATATTTTCCCACTACACTAAAAAAATTTTTTTTATTGGATTTTCTCCTGTTAATTTTTTCGCTTATTTTTAGAAGGCTTGGGATAAAAATAAAATTATTTTGTTGATATTTTTAAAAATTTTTATTACAGAAAAAATATTTTTTTTATTATTTTTAGAGGAGTATTTACTTCAGCAGCAGCATTTAAGAAAACCAAAATTTATGACCGTCTAGCTACTTATGGAATTGTTTTTCGTACAGTTCCGGAAATGGCTTCTACTTAGAGGGATTTTTTGGTGGGTTTTTAAGGAAAGAGAGAGGCAAACTAATTTATATAATTTTAATTTTATAGTCAAATTTAAAAGAAACACATATTGACCTTGTTTTTGGAGAAATTTTTCTTCCTTAAAAAATATATAAAATCATTCAATTACTATTTAAATTTTAAGGGCTATTTTATATTTCGAAAATATATTTTTAAGTAAATTTTAAAATTTCGGGAGCTCTTTTCTTTCAAAAAAAATTTTTTTTTTTAAATTTTCCTTTTTAATAGTAGTTTTGAATGATTTTATAAAACATACATTTTTATTGACAAAATAGTACATTCCTTAAAAAATTCTTTTTAATTATTTTTGCTAATGAGACCTGCCTTCAAATTTTATTTTATTGGAAATTATAAATCTAAATTCGCGTTAAAAAAATTTTTTTTAAATTAAAAATATTTGAATGCAGTTCTTTTATCAATTTTGCCTTTTTTTGCTAGATTTTTTAAAAATTGTTGATTTTTTTTTATTTGAAAAAGATACGGTTAGACAAATTATAAGAATTTTTTATATTTATGTAATACTCCATTTCTAGTTAATTTAAAATTTTTTTTTTTGAAAAAAATTAAAATTTTATTGTCTCTTTAATTTCAATTTGGTCAATATTCCCTACATCTATTTTAAATTTATTTTTGCCTTGTCTATTTAATTTTACGTCCTTATTTGTTAGGGGACCGGATTAAAAGGGGTTTTGACCAATGAAAATCTAAGTTTTTATTTTGATAGTTGGCCACAGTTTCTAGTTTTTTCTCAAATAAATTGTAACCAAAAGAGAAAAGGACTCCTCAAAAATAGCCCCGAATCTCTCAAGACACCTTCCTTCGGAACTGAATTTTTAGCTTTCCTTTACTTGAGCTGAATTATACATAAGTATCTCCCCTAAAGGGGGTATTTTATTGAAGAGGTTTTGACAGCAATTTCCGTTCAATTTAATTTTTTCCAAAATTTTTCCAAAAAAATTCTCTTTAGATTTGCCTTTTTATTAAATACAAAATTTCAAAAAAATTTATATTTTTAACAATAAAATGAATAAAAAATTAAAATTTTTTTATTGTTCTAGGCTAAAAATGCCTTGTAATATTTTTCTAAACCCATTAAGAAAATCATCCGTTTTTTGTGAAATTTGTGTTAAATTTAAATCTGGATTTTGTTTGGATGTTGATGAACCTGTATAGCCTTTAAATAAGAAAAAAAATTTTTTTAGGAAGGATAAATGGAAAAAAATTACAGCATTTATATTCAGCATTACATTCATATCTATCCGGGCATTTTGAATTTACACAATCTAGTAGATAGATTAATTTAAATTGAAAGGGTTTTAAGGGTCTTTGTATTGAGAAAGAGTCTAACAAAAAAGTTTAGCCACCTGGCAGCAACCTGCAACAAGGCTGATGGTGAAGCCTTGCTCACACAAATGCAGGTGCTAGAGAGCTACCGGGGCTCTTTATTGTATCCTTTTAGATCGTTTACCCCCGCCTAAGCATTTTAAATACTGCTGTGTGAGTCCTCTTTACATTTAAAAGATGTAAGACTTGAAAAACTTAAATAAGTAATCACAGAAGAATCTCGAAAAGTGGGGAGAAGAAGAAGAGAAGAAGAAATCTATCCTTACTTCCAATATCAGCATTTCCATTTTTAAGACATTCTGTTCGAATTGAAACAAATACAAAATTTAAAATTATTAAAATAAGAAAAATATTATTAATTTTGTGTTGCATTTTCTGACTTTTTTTTGTGGGAGGGAGGTGAGAATGATTTTTTGAGGGATTTATCCAGTGTATTTAAATACCAACTTTAATAGAGAGGCAGGTTAAATAAACAAATATTGCTTTGTTTTTTGTTGTTTTTCCTTTCTATTTTTGTAACTCCTTTATTTAAAAAAATTTTTTCTGAGTGTGTTACTTTGTCCTTTTTTTCTTTCTTTGTTTCTATTTTTAAAATTTTTTTTTCGAAAATTTTTTAAATTTAAATAATAATTAAAGGGGTACACCCCGCGAGCCCAGTATACCGCCGAGCTATAACTTCGTTCAAAATTGTCAAATCCGGGAGGCCCTGGTATGGTTCAATTCAGCTCGACGAGGCGCATCGAACCATACCAGGGCGTCCCGGATTTGACGATTCTGAACGGAGTTATAGCTCGGCGGTATATGCCCTGCTTTCTAATAAAGGGGGATACGCCGGCGCGCGGCCATAACGGCGCTTAGACTTAACTTGCTTCAAGATTTCCGAATCTTACCAAATTTAGTATTAAACGATTTCTCTCATCGAGCTGAAGAGATTGGCACCAAAATTGATAAGGACCAGAAATTTTTCAGCACATTATGGCTTCGCGCCGTTATGGCCGCGCGCCGTTTTGGGCTGTACCAGATAGCGAACCAAAAATGTCAAACGTCTAGATTTTAAGGGTTGACCATTTTTATTTCGGTCTTTTGACCATTTTGCAATTTTTATGGGTATTGACCATTTTGACAGTTTTAAAGGTTGACCATTTAAAAATATTATATGTTCGCTGACCCTTTTGCAACATTTCGAGTTTTTGACCATTTTGAAACTTTTATAGGCACTGACCATTTTGCAATATTTTTAGGGGTTGACCATTTTTACATCGCTATTAATTTTATTCGCTTTTTGCAAGGAAAATGTGGGGGCTGTATAATGCTTTCCATTTCTTTTTTTAATACTGAAAAACATTACCGATCAATAATAACGGGTAAATCATCTTTAAAAAAAAACAAAAATATTTTTAAAAATAAAAAAAAAATTTTTTTTTTCAAGGTAAAATTAAATTTATTTAAAAAATGGAAGACGAAGAATTTAATTTTGATGCTTTTACGACTCACGCCTGTGAATTCAACTCGAAATGTGTCAATTTGCTTCAAGCATTGAAGCAGGTGACTAAAAAAATTTTTTGGTTGTAAAATGGTCAGAAGGCAAAAAAAGTGTCAAAATGGTCAGAAAATGAAAAAAGTGTCAAAATGTCAAATTTGTTGACGTTTTGAAAAATTTTTGCCTTCTGACCATTTTGAAATTTTACCATTTTAAAAGTTGACATTTTGAAAATTTTCCGTTTTTAGCCTTCAGCAACCACCAGTAACAGCCTAGAAAACTTTCCAAGAGAAAAACTCGATTTACAACTTTCTCAGCTCACTCAAGTGTCAAAAAAGCTGCGTTATCGTTTAAAAGGTCCAATAATCGACAACAGTTTTAATGACCCGTTAATTGAAGTTTTCAAGTTTTTAACGCGCAAACAACTTTTTAATTCTGTTCAATTAACTAATAAACATTTTTATAATGTTGTGAAGGGAAATGAAGAAATTTGGTAAAATAAAAAAAATTTAAAAAATAAATTTTTTTTTTAATGTTTTGCAGGCCAAAATATAAATTTGGACGTTTTGCAATTGTAGGTGTTTTGTTAAGTTGAAATAAAAATAAATAAACTTGTTTTGGGAAAAGTTTGTTTAAAACAAGTTTTGCAACAAACTTGTTAATAAAATAAACTTGTTTTGTTGTTTAAAAATAAACTTGTTTTGCAAACATTAAAAATCAAAATTGTTCAGACAAAACATTAATTTTAAATAAACTTGTTTTTTTACTAAAACAAACACTTAAATGCAAACTTGTTTTTACGAATAAACTTATTTTTAATGTTTGGAAACTAAGTTTTCTAAACAAACAAACAAGTTTAATTTTAAAATAAACATGTTTTGTAAACATGAAAATCAACTTGTTTCCGAACATTAAAATAAACTTGGATTAAAACAAACTTGTTTCCAACTTGGATTAAAACAAACTTGTTTCCAACAAAATTAAATATTCAAACTTTAAAATAAACTTGCTTCAAGTTTAATTAATTTTCCCTTTAAAGAATACAGACACTTACCTTAGCCAATCATCAAAATATTGTTCCTTCAAAAATTATAAAGAATTAAAAATTCCACCACAAGAACTGGGTCCATTGTTAGCCACACTTTCTACTGTTCAATGGGTACAGAAATTAAATTAAAAAAAATATTTTTTTCAGAATTTTAAATTTTATTCTGACGGGCGTTTGATTAAACCAGTCAAAATGCTTGCTTCACACGATGGAAACACTAATCCTGATGATATTTATTTTTTTATAAATATTAATGAAAATGATAAGGACAGCTGTGAATGTTATAGTAAATGTGAATGCTGCAAATTTGTTAATTATTTGCCTGAAAGAAACAATTATAAATTTTTTGTTTATTTGCCTAATATGCTTCAAAACCGTTTGCATTTGGCTACGGCTATTTTCTGGTTTAGACAGTTTTCGAAGGTGGAGTTTTAATTAAACTTGTTTTTATTTAAATAAAACTTGTTCGAATAAAAATTAAACTTGTTTTTACAAAAATAAACTTGTTGTAATTAAATTAAACTTGTTTTTACTTAGTTCTTTTGTTTACCAACAACTCTATAAAAACAAGTTTAAAAATAAATAAACTTGTTTTTCTCCCTTAAAATTAAAAACTTTCACTCTACATATCTCAAACATTAATTAAAACTTGTTTCAAAACATTTTGTTTTTATAAACTTGTTTTTATAAACATGTTTCCACCTTTAAATAAACTTGTTTTTCTTAAAAACACATGTTTTTAAAAATAAACTTGTTTTTAATAATTAAACTTTAATTAAAACATGTTTCATTCTTTTTCCTAAAAACTTGTTTGTAAACTTGTTTTAACAATTATTAAAACATGTTTCTAAACAAGTTTTAATGTTTTTGTTTTAGATACACTCTTCTTCATTTTTCATTGAAGAACATCGTTGGACAAGAGATTTTATTTCCAATTTTCTCTCAAAATTTAATTTAAACAAATTTTTGCCGATAAGTACAGACGATTTTCGTTCATATCAACCAATTTCAATGTCCTTCCTTCAAAAAACTTTGCTAGCCAAATCAATCACAATTTGGGATATTAAAGGAAATTTGGAATTTTATAATTATTTAATTAATAAAGAAGGAAATAAAAAAAGATTTTATCCAGAATCGTTAACTGCTTTTGGCTTTTTACCTCAAAATGTTAAATTTAATGGGGATGAGCAACAAGGATGGGATAATATTTTTGATGCTCTTATTAAGGTAGAGAAATAAAAGTTTAAATAAAACAAGTTGGAAAGTTTAAAATAAATAAACTTGTTTTAAATAAACTTGTTTAGAAAAACATTAAAACAAGTTGAATTTAAACATTTATAAAAATAAACTTGTTTTAAATAAACTTGTTTTAAATAAACTTGTTTATTTTTGAAGAAAAACAAGTTGGATTTAAACATGTATAAAAATAAACTTGTTTAGATAAACATTAAAACAAACATGTTTTAGAAAATGCAAGCACTCCTATAGTTATAAACTTTAAAATAAACTTGTTTTCAAACATTAAAACAAACTTGTTTAAACGCTTAAAAATAAACTTGTTTTCAAACATTCAAAAACAAATTTAAACAACATGTTCAAAGGAAAACATGTTTAAGGAAAAACAAGTTTAATTTAACCTTGTTTATTAAAATAAACTTGTTCGAAACTTAAAGACAAACTTGTTCGAAACTTTAAAATAAACTTGCTTCGAAACAGGTATAATTAAAACTTTTTTTTAGCATTGCCGTAAGACTCGCCATCCAGATCAAATAATTAAAAAAATTAATTTGAATTTTTCTTCACACCCGGCTCCATGGATACATACAAACATTACTGGATTAAGATTAATTTATCGTTCCACAACATTTAAAGTGGATGAAGAAGAGGGGACAGAGAATGAAGAGGTTGAAGTTCGTTATAGTCTAGTGAATAAATTTGATGCGTCTAAACGCTTTGAAATTCGTGTGGAATGTTCTTCGAATGCTTTGAATGAAGAAATGGTAAGGGGAAAAAGTTGAAATTGGTAAAATTTAAATGAAACTTGTTTCCAAACATTCAAACTTGTTTTAATTAAATAAACATTAAATAAACTTGTTTTGATAAATCAAAAAATAAAACTTGTTTCCAAACATTTAAAACTTGTTTTAATTAAATGAACATTAAATAAGTTTTTCTAAACATCAAACTTAGTCTAAAACTTTAAATAAACTTTAATATAAACTTGTTTTAATTTAAAAAAACAAATAAAACTTGTTTGTTTAAATTAAACTTGTTTCTAAACAATTAAAACTTGTTTATTATAAAATTAAACTTGTTTTTAAGCATAATAATAAAACTTATCTAAAACTTTAAAATAAACTTGCTAATAATTTTAATTTTTCAGAATGAATTTACTCTGATCCGAGAAGTGTCTGATGATTAAATATATTTAAGAAATGGGTGTTTTCACTTTGTTACTGATTTTAAATTTAAATATACATTTTATATTATGAATTTTTTAAATTTAAAGCTCAATTTTTGGAATAAATATTCTTTTTTGAGTTTAATTTACTTTATTTATTGTTTCACATTTAAATAAAGCTTTTTTAAAACGAATCTTGAAGCAAAGAATAAACTTGAAACAATTAGGTAAAAAATAAACTTGTTTCTAAACTTAAATGAACTTTAATTCAAAACAACTTGTTTTTCTTTAAAATAAACTTGTTTTAAAACTTCGAAACAAAATAGACTTGTTTGCAAACATTACTAAATAAACTTGTTTTTTTAAACTTGAAAATAATTAAACTTGTTTTAAAACTTGGAAATAAACTTGTTTAAACACATAAATGAAATAAACTTGTTTGCAAACATTTATTAAATAAACTTGTTTTTCTAAACTTGAAAATAAACATGTTTTGAAACAACAAAATAAACTTGTTTGCAAACATTTATTAAATAAACTTGTTTTTCTAAACTTGAAAATAAACATGTTTTGAAACAACAAAATAAACTTGTTTGCAAACATTTCTTAATTAAACTTGTTTTAAAACTTTGGAAATAAAAAAACTTGAAAAACAAAATAAACTTGTTTGTAAATTTTTAATTAAACTTGTTTTAAAACTTTGGAAATAAAAAAACTTGAAAAACAAAATAAACTTGTTTGTAAATTTTTAATTAAACTTGTTTTATTCTTTTAAAACAAGTTTGCTTCCGTTCGTGCACTTTTCAAAACCTTAAAAACTTGTTAAGATATTAAAAACATTTCCAACTTTTTTTCCCTTTAATTTAAAGTTACCGGTGTTCATTAAAGCATTTAATATTAAAAACTAATTTATATTAGCGTATCTATTAGCAACAACTTTTTCTTAAAGAAAATAGGTCTTTAAGGGAGACTTTATTTTATATTAAAACTTTAAGGCTTCACACGCTAATATTAAAAAAAATTTTTTTTTCTTCTTTATTAGTTCTTTCAGTTAAAATTTAAAAATTCGTTTTTCTTCATTTTCTACTTCCTCTTTTATTTTTTAAATTTATTTCTCTAAGACTAGTTATTTCTCTTATATCAATTTTTATCCCCAGTTTAGTCTTCTTTAGAATAACTATTTTGTAAGAACACCTTTTCTAGGGGTTTCTAAGGGTGTAACAACACAACCCAGCCCCTTCACTTCCCTACAGTTAAAATATTCTCAATTATCCCTGGCTAAACTCTGTAAGGGTGTAGCAACATAGAAACCCCCCTTCCCCCCTACAGTTACTCATCCTCCCTTATCCCAGCCTAAATTATATTCTTGTTGAAAACAATGAGAAAAGGTGGGAAATGATATGGAATGGGTAGGACAGTCATCAAATGCCCCTAGCCTGATTTATACCCCCCAATACATCCCCCAAGACGTTTATCAGGGAGTGTGAAAAGTTGGAGATTTTTTGAAAAAAATTTTTTTTATTTCCATGTTCTCTCCTTTTTCAAAAATTTTTTTGCTTCCATTTTATACTTAAAATTTTCCAACTCACTCAACAAATTTTTATATTCATTTATTTGTTCATTTCTTTGACGACATGCTGCGCAAGATGAGTGGGAAGAAGGGGGAGAAGGGCTAAAAAACTTGGATTAGATTTTTTTACTTAAAATATATTTTATTTATTTTACTTTAAAACTAAAAATAAATTGTATATTTTCTTTTAAAAATATTTGAGCTTTCTAAAAAATTGATTTCCTCTGTTATTTTTAAGCTTTCTTTCCTCTCCCCCTTACAGTCTCTCTAAAGGACGATGGTTAGTTCAAACCTTATAACTCAGGAAAGAATAAACCGATAAATTTAAATTTGGTATCATTCGATAGAGAATTGAATTAGCTACGAAATAAGCTTTAAATTGTAATTTTAGGTTAGTCTGAGGAAAAGTTATGGGCAAAAAACTGTTTACCGTCCTTCTCCTTTATAGCCTTCTTATAGGGCTGAATTCAAATTTTACAACTTACGACTGGATAAACCGTTTATTTTAAGTTTTGTACCATTCGATAGAGAATTGAATTAGCTGCAAAAAGAGCTTCAAATTAAAATTTTAAGTTAACCTGCAGAGAAGTTATGGGCAAAAAACTAGGTTTTTGTAAGCAATTTTGAGGTTTTTTGGCCATAACTTTTTTAATACTGAACCAAAAATTAAGCACTATATCTCATTTTAAAGCTAATTTAATTCTCTATCGAATGATGTAATGTTTGAATTTTAATTTTCTATGGAAAATTATGGAGATTTAAAAATAAGAGGTCAAGGACAAGGAGTTTGACCCAGATTTTTAATCTTTTAAAATTTAATTTTGTTTGAAATGTATTTAATTTTTAATCCATTAAATAAACAAAATAAACAATAAAATTGAATCACAAAAGCAATATAAAATAAAAATCTAAGCAAAATTTAAAAAGAAAAAAAAAGTTGAGGTTAAAAATAGAAGCAATAAAATTGTAAAATAAATAAAAGTAATTTTAGCTTTCTTTAAAAAATTTTTTTTCACTGAAAAGAAGGTGAATAATATTAAATTTACTAAAAATCAAGTTGTTTCTATTTTTTAAAAATTTTTTCTATGATTTTTTAATTGAAATTAAGACGGAGTAAAAAGAGGGAAAATTTAAGGTAAAATTTATGGGAAGAATTAGGTGGTGTAGCGGTTAGCTGCTTAGATTTTACAGGGCAAGGGGTTAAAGGTTCGAACCCCTGTCAGTGCAAACTTTTTTATTTTTGGTTTAATTTAATTTTTAGACAAATAAAATTTTTTAAAAGTAAATTAAGCAAGGAAAATATTTTTTTAATAGTTGATTTTTGATTTTTTAAATTTTAGTTTTTTCTCCACAAATTTTTTTAGAATTTTACCTGCAACAAAAATTAAAAATAAAAAATTTTTTTTGTTTGCCAAAAAATTTTTTTTTCTCCTCCAAAAATAAAATTTAAAATCAATCTACCAAACTAAAAAACTTTTCCAAATCCCTCTTTTTTATTCTCCTCATTTTTGTATTTTTTGTATTTTTTCTTCTCCTCTCCCTTCTCTCCCTTCTCACTCAGTGTAGTATCCCCCCCTCCCCCAATAAACAAAAAAAATTTTTTTTTATTTTCCAAAACCATCCAATTTTTTTTCTTCTCATTTTTTTGGTTGGCATTGCTATACTCTTTTCTCCTTCAATAGTCAGTTTGTCATCATCACACCACACCCGTTTATTCCCCCGAAAAATGACAACAATCGATGGCTAAATAGTTAAAATAAGGGGGGGGGGGAAGGTCGATTTCTATTTAGTTTTATTCTCTTTTTTATGCGCGTATCAATTTTTAGATAAAAATTCTTTGCTCTCAATGCTCAAAAATTATTTTAAAAAGGAAAAATTTTCTTTGATAATTTTTTTTCTTTTTTTTGAGAGAAAATATAGGTTAATTTGACTTTTATTTATGTTCTTTTCTTCTATTTTAAATTTTCTAAAAAAATTTTTAAAAAGCGAAGTAGCGACCAGGGGTATCACGACTTTTGCGCCGAGAACATTTGCGCCGCGACTTATGCGCCGCGACTTTTGCGCCGGGCGACTTTTGCGCCGCGACTCTTGCGCCGCGACTTTTGCGCCGGGCGACTTATGCGCCGCGACATTTGCGCCGCCATTGTTTAAAAAATCCGGATCCGAAAAATGCCGGATATCCGAAATTTTCAGTTCGGATATCGGATCCGGATATCCGAAGATTTCCAAGTATCCGACAACCCTACTAAATTGAGGTCCGGCTGTAGTTATTGATATATTTTTAATGATAGTGGCGGCGCAAAAGTCGCCCGGCGCAAAAGTCGCGGCGCAAAGGTTCCCCGGCGCAAAAGTCACTCGGCGCATAAGTCGCGGCGCAAAAGTCGCGGCGCAAGAGTCGCGGCGCAAATGTTCTCGGCGCAAAAGTCACGGAACCCGACCAGGGATGTGCACCAAAATTTTCACATGTCGTGCTAACTAGAGCTTGGCACGGGACGGGACCCCGTACGGGATTTCACGAGATCCCGTCCCGGAATCCCGTGTTTTTAGCGACAAACGGGATTACCGGGATTCCGCGGGATTAATCCCGCGGAATCCCGTCCCGTACAAATTTTGAAAAAATCCCGTTCCGGGATCCCGGGAATGCGATTTTGCCGACCTCTAGTGCCAACTGCCAAACGACAATTTTTCAAATTTTTAAAATACGCCAAACGCCAAAATCCCTCAAAAATTAAAGTCAAAACGCCACACAAAACGCCATGACGCACAACCCTCAATTGAAACGCGGACGGGGGGGGGGGAATAAGTAAGTACCCAACCCTAGTATCGACTTGAAATTTTTTTCTAAATTCAATTTAAAATGTTGGCTTTAAAATACAGAAAAAATTTTATTTTTAAAAAATAAATTTGCAAAGTTATCTATTTTTAAAGTTGTTTGGTCAGGCTAAGGGAACGCTTTGGTTCAATCCACATAACTTTTTATTAAATAAATTTATTTTTTGAAATTTTGCCAAAACGATATAGCTTCAGAAATAAATTTATTTTTAATAATCTCATTTATAAACTCTTAAAATTTATTTTATTTCTTAATTTTTTTATCATTTTATAGCTTAAAGTCTCCTCTATTTTTCCGACTTTTCATGCTATTTATATAACACAGATAAAATTCTAAAAAAAATTTTTTTTTGATTACCTTCTCACTCCTTTTGATTACCTTCTTTTTTGATCATCTACTTTACTCCCTTCCCAAAAATTTATTTTTTTTATTATTTTATTTTTTATCACATTTACTCCACAAAATAAAAATAATTTTTTATTACCTTAAAGTAAAATATATTTTCTCTAAATTTATTTTAAGCTAAAAAGAATTTCCATAAAAATTTTTTCCTGTAAAAGAGCTCTTAAAAAAGACGGGCGTTCGTTTGCTTTATTGATAAAAACACACAAAATATTTAAATAAAAAAATCTTTTTTGTTTGACTTTCTGATTTTTTTTTCTCACTCTTCGCTATCTTTTAAACAATAAAAAAATATTAAAAATTCAAAAAGAATTTTTTTCGATGATTTAATAATTCAAATAATGTCCAAAACGCTTAAAAACGTCTTAAAACAATGAGTGTTATTTTAATCACTATTATGCTTATTTGCAGATTTTTTTAAAGAAATGAATTTTTGAATTGTTGACTCATTCAGTTACTCTAATTTTGAAGAAAAAATTTTTTTAAAGGAAAAAAATTTTTTAGGGAATTAAAAAAAATAAAATTCAAGAATTTTACGGATAGTAGTTACTCTTTCGACCATAACTTGAAAAATAATTAACCAAAAATTCTGAAATTTACAGAAAAGATGCTCAATACTATAAGGTATATCTCTGCAAAATTTCAAAAAATTAGGTTGACGGCAACCTATAGTTTTGTGGAAGCGCGCCCAAACGACTGCTGCGCCCAAATAACCCACAAAACCTGTTAATTAAGGAAATATATTTAATTTTATTTTAATAAATACAATTTGTGCAACATCTTGTTTATCTTTTTTTATACAAAAAAATAAAGGTTTAGTTAGTAAAATGCGTGGTTTGATCGATTAGATTTGATAAACACAAAAATAACTCCTAGGCGTTAACAAATAAAATTATTTTGCGCATGCCTTATTTTTCTCCTTTGTATTTCCTTTATAATTAACTAAATTATAATTAATTTTTTGTAAAATATTTTTAAAGATGTGTGCCATTTTGATTTAAAAATTATTAAAAATCTAACAAATTTTAAATAAAAAAAACAGAACGCCAAGCAACAAAAAATTTGAAAAGATTATTTATTAAAGAACGACAAAATAATTTAAAAAATATAAAAACGCCAAAAAATCAGAACGCCAAAAAATCTAAGAAACGCCAAAAACGCCAAAAAATATAAACAGAACGCCAAAACTAGAAAAAATTTAAAAATACGACAAATCATGGCCAAACGACTAAACTAAAAAATTCTCAATAAGACGCCAATAAATAAACAAAACGCCAAAAATTTAAAAAATCTAAGCAACGCCAAAAAAAACACCAAAAAATCCCCACACATATGGATCACCCTTCCAACAACAACAATATTCACCAAAAACACTCCCAAAGCCTAAAAACATTGTTAACAGTCCCAATACAACAAAACACACAACAAAACATACAACATTCCCCAACAAATAGTTTCTGTAGTGTTGGAAATATAAGTATAAATACAATAGCTAGTTCGAGTACGGTATTCCCAACATCAACAAAGGAAGATGTTTGTAAGGTAACTTGTTTCCCTGTGATATTGCCAAAAACATCAGATGAGCAACAAACATGTTTTGAACAAGTGTATGTTTATTTTAGTGTTTTTGGGGAATGTTTGGGAAAATGTTGATGTGATGATGATTTTAAGGATGTTTTTAAATATGTTTTTAAACAAGTTTATATGTTTTCTAAAAAAGTTGAACAATGTTTTAATGATGTTTTTAAAAAAGTTGGGAAAATTTTGATGTTTTTATAGATGTTTTTAAATGTTTTTGGAAAACAATGTTTTCGAACAAGTTTCAATGTTCTTAGGAAACAATGTTTTAAACATGTTTTAATGTTTTATAAAAAGGGGAGAAATGTTTTTACCATTTATTAATGTTTTAAAAAACAATGTTTTGAAAACAATGTTTTAATATTTTCTGAGAAAAGTTGGAAACAAAAGGAAAATGTTTTTATTTCTAACTTTGTCAGAATATAAGCAAAACATTGAATAATATGTAGAACAATTAAAAAAATTTTTTGGATATAAAATAACAAAAAAAATTTTTTTCGACAAAAATTCTACAAACTACAATAAATAAATAGTTTTTAAAAATAGTATAAATAATAGATAAAAATGTTTAACCCTCCTTTTTTATTTAAATAAAACGATAAAAAATAAAAGATAAGGGGAGGCATTTTAGAAATTGACATTTTATTTATTTTTTGGTGTGGCTTAGTAATTAATAAAATATTTTATTTTAATTTAATAAATGTTTTGTTGCATTTATTAATCAAAAACTTAACTTAAAAACATTGTTCAGAAACACAAATTCTGATTTTCCACAACCTTCAACTTCCAACTTGCCTCAAAACATACCAGAACTCCAAAACAACAAATCAGAAAATTGTTGTTGTTGTCAATGTTGTAATAATAAATTAAATGTTTCTGAACAAGAAAAACAAGAGAAACAAACATCAGAACAATTAAATTCTGAACAATTAAAACAACAAAAACATCAAATAAAACACAAAACATCAAAACCAGAAGAAACATCTAAAAACAACATTATTGTAATACCCCCAACAGAACAACAAGAAAATAGTTTTGTAAAACAAATAACCTCAATGCCCTTACCTGAAAGGCAAAATGAACATGTTGAAGATGAAGATGGAACGAGTCATATTAAATTATTACAACAAAAATTATTTGAACATTATCATACTGTTGCCTATACTATTGTTATTTTTACTGTAAGTTGGAGTAATATTCTGATTTTTTAATTCTGATTTTTTTTGAAATTTTGATTTCTTAAATTCTCAATTCTAAAATTCTGATTTTTTATAATTCTGATTTTGCAAGATTCTGTTTTTAAATGCTGATTTTTAATTCTGATTTGATAAAATTCTGCTTAAAAAAAGTCTGATTTCTTAAATTCTTATTGTTAAAATTCTGATTTCAATAAAATTCTGATTTTTAAAATCCTGATTTTTTAAAATTCTGATTTTCCTATAAATTCTGTTTTCTAAAATTCTGTTCTTAATTTCTGATTTTTTAAATTCCGAATTTTAAAATTCTGATTTTTTATAAAATTCTGATTTTTTATAAAATTCTGATTTTTTTAATATTCTGATTGTTAAAATTTCATTTTTATTATTTTCAGTGTTTCCTAGCATTTTGTGAATATCTCTACTTAAGACTTGTCAGTTTTATCTTCCCTGAACCCATAATCTATAGAAGAAAATGTGAAAAACACTATAATGAGGTTGTCCTTAGGAATGAACTACATTTTGCTTCTGGTCTAGCCGTATTTCTTGTTATGGGAATTTTTCAAATTTTGGTAAATTTTTAAATAGAAATAAAATTAAATTCCAAAAAAAGTGTTTCTTCCTGCTAACAATCTCAAAAAAACTTTTGGATGTAAGGCGAATAACATTTTCCCAAGTTATAAGCATTGAAGAGCGTTTACATATGGAACTTGTTTTTGCTGTGAAACGAACAATGTTTGCAACTTTGTTTCCGACATTTGGTATGTTCAGATTAAATTCTGATTTAGAAAAGTACAAATGTTTAAATTAAATTCTGATTTTAAAAAACTATAAATGTTTAAAACAAATTCTGATTTAAAAATATTCTGATTTTATAATAATTAATGTTTTAATTAAGTTCTGATTTTTTAAATTATTCTGATTTGATGTAAAGTTGTAATAAATTCTGATTTTATATACTAAAAATACAATTCTGATTTTTAAAAATACAAATGTTTAGATTAAATTCTGATTTAACAATAAAAATATTCTGATTTTATAATTAATGTTTAAATTAAGTTCTGATTTTGAAATTATTCTGATTTGATATAAACTTTTAATAAATTCTGATTTAAAAAAAATACAAATATTCTGATTTTACAATAAGTAAAATACAATAAAATTCTGGTGTAATAATGTTATATTAAATTCTGATTTTATATAATAAAATTCTGATTTTTAAAAACACAATAAAATTCTGATTTTTAGCCATTTACCTACTCTGCTCATCAGTTATTTATTGTGATATATTTTACATGGTTGGAATCAGGTGTGAACTAAATTCTTTGTTAAAAAAACTTTTCTTAAATTTAAGGGATCCAATAGTTCACGGCGGTTCTCTAATAATTATCTACATTTTCGATGCCTGTGTTATTCTTTACTTTCTGGCATTCCCTATTTTATGTATTTTATTCCATCCAGAAATTAATTGTTGCCAAACAAGAATGTCAAAAATATGTTGTTGCTTTACTTGTATTTGGCAAACACAAAGGAGAAGGAGAGACAGAGCGAATGCGCAACCACTTGGAAACAGGCACTTGGAATTATCAAAAATACAAAATTATAAGATAATAAAAAAATTCTGAAACTAAAAAAAACACAAAGAAAATACAAAAAATTCTGATTTCTGGCAAACAAAAATACAAAAATTCTGATTTTATAATATTCTGATTTTATAAAATTCTGATTTTGGAAAATTCTGATTATGTAAAATTCTGATTTTGGAAAATTCTGATTTTACAAATTAAAGAAATTCTGATTTTGGAAAATTCTGATTTTAGAAATTCTGGGTTTAGAAATTCTGATTATGATAAATTACTATTTTAAAAATTCTGATTTTAGAAAATACAAAATTCTGATTTTAATAAAATATAAGAACACAAATTTCTGATCACTTAACCAACTTGTTTTAAGCCAGTCGTTGCAGACTAACGATGAGGAGATTGTTGTGGTGGCGACGCACTCGGCAGCGACAACGTCCAGCAACCCCGAGGAGACCAAAAGCGAAAGGAGGGCAACCATTAATGATGCCCCTAATGACAATAACAACGGCATCGACACCAAGCATGGTCAGTTCCAACAAAATATTCCAACGACTCACTCCGAGGACGAGGCTATCAGCTGTGGAAATGATGGCCGAGGAGGAAGCTTTGCTGGGGGAAGGCATGGAGTCTATGGAAAACAATGGAGTAATAAAGGTAATTATTAAAGTTTATTGTTGTGAAGCAGAACTCTGTTTTGATCAAAATGAAACACAATTCTGTATTTTTAATTTTTGAAAACCAGAATTTAAATAAAACAAACCAGAATTTAATTAAAACAACTCAGAATTTAATTAAAACAAACCAGAATTTAATTAAAACAAATCGGAATTTAATTAAAACAGACCAGAATTTAATTAAAACAAGCTTGAATTTGATTAAAACAAACCAGAATTTAATCAAAACAAACCAGAATTTAATTTAAACAAACCAGAATTTCAGTAAAACAAACCAGAATTTAATTAAAACAAACCAGAATTTAATTAAAACAAACCAGAATTTAATTAAAACAAACCAGAATTTAATTAAAACAAACCAGAATTTAATTAAAACAAATCGGAATTTAATTAAAACAGACCAGAATTTAATTAAAACAAGCTTGAATTTAAAACCAGAATTATTTTAAAACAATTATTTAACTGTTGTCAAAACATATCAGAATTACATGTTTTTCTTGTCTTAACTAGAAACCAGAATGTTTTCTGTTTCTCTTACTTTACCAGAATTATTATACTAAAAATCAGAACATAAGTTTCACAACATTAAGTTTTGTTTTCAAGTTTATTTATTATACCAGAATTATCAGAATCAGAATTTCAAGTTCTTTTTTTTTCAGAACAACAACACAGAATTAGAACAAAATCACCATTGAGTGGTTCTAAAAGAAATTATGGAAGTCTTGAACGCAGGCAGCAATGTTCAACATCCGAGACTGTAGACTACGTTACTTCCCCACCAACTCATTCTTCCTATGATATTGACTTCAAAGGACAGTCAAAAAACAGTTCAGAACATTTTGGCGTCAAAAAGACAACATTAAAAAATTACGACAAAATTTACGACAAAATTTATGGAAAAATATACAATAAATTTTACGACAAATCTGACGATAAAAATGATGAAAATACACAAAATGACAACAAAAAAGAAGAAAATTTGACTAATATCCCAGCAGCTCTAATTGTAGGGCGTCGAGAGATATCAACACAAACTGAAGCTGTTAGGCGTAGACTTCAACAGAGAAGACAGAGTCGTTATAAAAGATTAACGGGAAGTGATGAATCTAAAGAGGCTGGAAGAAGTGGAAGTGTGGTTGAGAAGAATGAAGGTGTTGGGAAGGAAGAAGGGAGGAAGATGGAAGGAAAGGAGGAAGAGGTGAAGAGAAGGAAGAATTTTGAAGTAGAAGAGGGGGATGAAGAGATGGAAGAGGATGATGAAGAAGAGAAGAGAAAGAGAGAAGAAGAGAAGGAAAAAGATGGAAGGGAAGAAGATAGAAGGAAGAATATGAAGGGGAGGATGAAGGAAGTGGAGGGGGAAGAGGAAATAAAGAAGAAATTGGAAGAGGGAAGGCTGAGGCAAGAAGAAGAGGGAAAAACGAAGGAAGAGAGAATGATGAACAAGCTTGTAGCCTTAAAAATTGAAAATGGGGAAGAGGAAGAAGAGGAAGAAAGCGATGAAGAAGAAAATGGAAGGAAAGAAGAAAGAGGAGATGTACAAAGTGAAGATCTTCCATATTCAGAAGAAGAGTTGTCTGTTGATTTTAGAAGGGGTTTGGGCGATTCAGAAGAAGAGGATGTAGAAGAAAATGAAAAAGAATTATCCTCAGATGACAGAATAGAATATAAAAATAACAAAGATAATCTTGAGAGAAGAGAAAGGAATGATCAGATGATTGTGAGGTGTTAGCCCTTTTGTTCTAGCCGACATAGAAAACGTGAATTGGGATTCTCGAAAAAACGTCAGGAATTCATTCTTTTCGGGAAGCGTGTGGGCTAGACCCATTTTTGTATACCTATATACAGTGGAAGGACATTTGACCTTATACGTTGCTAATCAGATTTTTTATACACAATTAATTAATGTTATAAAGACTTCTGTATAATACCCGTGTTAGAAAGTGCCGAAAGTGTATTTCTCGATCGTACCGGATCTTATTTTTCTTTTAAGGAGTGTAAAAGGCACAAAATTCTAGGCGACCCAATAATTATTATTAATTATGCAGGGCCACAAAATTTTCTTAATTAACGATATTGACAATATAACAAGTTTAACTTTGAGGAATTGACTCACGAGTAGGGTCAGAACTTCTGCTGTATATTGTTTTTGTATATATATTTTTTTAAAATTTTGGTCAACTTAAGCATTTTTACATATCATTTAACCCTTTAATTGCTACACTAACTTGACCAAAAATTTTTTATTTTAAAAAAATTTCTTGATTAATTGCTCACATATACTCATTTAAAATTGTACTGTAAAAGTGAACAAAATTTTAAATTTTGAAAAATTTTGAAAAAAAATTTGTTTACAATTTAATTTAAAAATTTATTTTTTCCCTTCTTTGACGTCTCTTTGACGTTTTTAAAATTAAAAAAAATTTATTTATAAAAATATAATTGTCAACAAAAAAAATTTTTTTGTTGTTGATAATTATGAAGAGTAAAAATGCTAATTACCTGCTACTCATTTTATAAAAAAATTTTTTTATTTTACATAGTCATTTTATTTTTAAAAAATATTAAAAAAGGGCAAACAAGTGGAATAATTCTTTTTTTTTCATTTTAAATTTAAAGATGGCTTTTTACCCCAAAAAATCAAATACCCGATTAGTCTCTTAGACGATCTCTATAAGCTACCCTTTATAGACCAGTTTTATCGGGTACAGCTAACTTACAGCGAGACCATCTTAGCGCAGAGCTATAATTTCGTTCAGAATCGTCAAATCCGAGACGCCCTGGTATGGTTCGATGCGCCTAAACGAGCTGAAACGAACCATACCAGGGCATCCCGAATTTGACGATTCTGAACGAAGCTCTGCGGTAAGTTGGGGCTTGCTCCCGTCTTATCTGCCCTTTATTCATTTTTGAATATTTCCATCCTTGGTTTAATAATCTTGGATTTATGTAATACATATGTATGGATTCCTAGCCAAGAGCCTTCTGTTCATTTTTCTTATTTTTGTCCGACTTAAAAATTTCCCCAATTTTTCAAAATCCTCTCTTAAGATTCTCTCTATATTTTCTTAAATTTAGTGCCTTTTTTAAAGCCATTGTTTCATTCCTTATTTATTTTTCCTTAAAACCAAACCTCCAAAACCTTTAAATTATTTATATATTCACACCTTTAAGCACCTACTTCAATATTTGTCTCAATTTTTGCTTTTATTTTTCCATTCTTTTTTGAATACTTGAAACAATAACTGACACCTTTTTAAAAGAAAAAAGACTATAGACCAAGTTAGTAGGTTATTTTATAAAATTTTGGGATGTCTCACATTTCTTTGTTTCATTTTTTATTTCCTTTTTGGGAAACACCCTCAAGAGAGCTTTGAGATCTCTAAATTTAAGGTCTCAAAAATCTTCTTTTATAGCCCAAACCCTTTCAGATTAAAATTTGGCATCATATTAGTTGAAGGATTTTGTTACAAAATGGATGCTCCCTATGCTGTATTTTCTCAATTAATTCCCCCTCCCTCGAATAATTCCCCCTCTCGTTTAATTCCCCATGCTAGAGTTGGGCTGAACATAATCCCCCACCCCAACTACCCTCTGAGCGTTCAAATGCCAAAACTCGAATAATTCCCCATCCCACGTATGGGTTGAAATATTAATTCCCCAGGGGAATTATCTAGAAAATACGGTAACTTGGATGCTCTCTATAACGACTAGAGAACGGACTGGATGTGTCGTACGAGAATAGAGATTTCGATATCTCGAAAGGATCTCGATATCGATAACGGAGATTTTTGATCGAGATCTCGAAGTGTTCCGAGCTAATTTAGAAATTAAATATGCACTCTCTTTAACATCGTCCTCTTCAATATACCTTTAATAATTGTTCCCAATTAAAATTTTCCACAGAGTTTGAGTCAATATGTCGGGTTATAATCCTCACACCGTTAAAAATAAATTACAATTAATTTTTTTATTACGTAAACCCTTTAAAATATAAATAATAATTATTAAAAAAAGTCAGGATATTATTTTTTTAATAATTAAATGTGTTTTGTTTAAGTCAATATGGCAGGTTATTAGACGTCTAATAATTCCGTTTAATTTTTAACACTCGCTAAAAGTTGAACAAACAAAAAGGAATGTACTCTAACGAAAATATTCATTTAAATACTATAATTTAAGATATGTATAAATGTTAAAAACATCTAATACTTGATTTAAAACATCTAAAAACAACTCTTTTTCTAAAACATAAACATAATTAAATAATTAGATCTAATAAACACAAAAACATACAAACAAACTTGACGAAAAACAAAATAACGAATTCAAAACATCAAAAACACGATTAAAACATATTTCTAAAAATATGTTTTAATTAAAACATGTTTCAATCAAAACATGTTTTAATCAAATAAAACGATTAACCGAGCATGTTCAACATGTTAACAAAACAAACAATTTGACAAAAACATGTTCAATTTTTCAAAAACATTCAAAACATTAATTAATTAAAACATAAGTTGGAGGCATTATTAAAAGTTGCAAACATTAGACAAACATTAATTAAAAATTTGAACATGTTTTTTTCAAAAATCACAATGTTCGTCAAGTTTGTGTTTTATGTTTAGTTTCCTAGCTTAGTTGTTTCTCGTCAAGCTTTTAGATGTTTTTGATGTTTTTGATTGTTTTCTTTTATGTTTTTAAATGTTTTTAGAATGTTTAGAATGTTTGTTTGATGTTTTTATTAGATGTTTGTCTAATGTTTTTAGATGTTTTTCGATGTTTGTTTGATGTTTTTGATGTTTTTGAATGTTTGTTTGATGTTTGTTCAATGTTTTTAGATGTTTCTTTTCCTCCATTTGTTTTTAGAATGTTTTTCAAATGTTTTTAAAATTTTTAGAATGTTTTGAATGTTTGTTTGATGTTTTTATTAGATGTTTGTTCAATGTTTTTAGATGTTTCTTTTCTTTTTTAAAAATATTCATGTATATAAACATTCTTTTATTTCCCCCATAAAACATCTACCTAAACTATCTTTTTACAGTCAACACTTGAATAATTTTTAAAAATAAATGTTTTAAAAATATACTTGACATTTTTTCCATTAAAAATAGTTTAAATTTATATATTTACCTTTTTTCTTTAAATTTCATCACTTTTTAAAATGTTTGTTTGCCTTTCTATTTTTTTGTATTTTTTAAAAATTCTATCCAATTTCTTTTTTAATACTTTAAAATGAATAAAAATAATTTAAGATAATAGGACTTTTAAAATTTTTTTTCACTCATTAAAAAATTGTTTAAATTAAAAAAAGGCTTAATTTTGTACTTAAAAATGATGCTATTTTTTATTTGTATCAATTACTTATTTTTTTTTCTTTAAAAAATTTTATTTTTAATTAAGTACAAACTAATTAGGAACTCTATTAGGTGATAAACAGTAAAACCTCCCTAAAAGCTATCTTCATTACACCTTAAAACAAGGTTGTGTTTCCTTATGTCATCGTGGGTGTTAGACATTTTTTTGAAATTTTAGTTGGAGCAACTACCTTACACGAATCGAGCTTTGGACATACAATTTTGTACGTCTTCTATTAACTAAGCTAGTGAAACGACAATTTTTTGTTTTTCTTCCTCTCCTTATATACATAAATCTTTAGACACCCCCTAATCGTTTTAATTGCAATCGTCGTTAAACTGGCATTTTGGTCTCGTAATAATAAACAGTCTAGTAATATATTTTTCCAATCTAAAATCCTATTTTATAATAAGTTTTGATTATATAAAAATTTCTCCAAAAAAATTTTTTCCTAATTTAATATTTGCATATTAGGTAACTTTGATTTTTTTAAATTTATTTTTAAAAAACTAAAATTAAAAAAAATTTAAAAAACCAAAAAACCAAATAATCAAAAATCATCAAAAAGAAATTAAAAAAATCTAATTTTGGAAATTTTGTTTTTGTTTCCAAAATAAAATTTTTGGAAGACTTTCAATTTTAATTTTAGCCATGAAAAAAATTAATTTTTGTTTTATTTAGCAGCTGACTATTAGTAATTCTTTTTTAGCAGATTCTTCATTCTAAAAATAAATAAGTAGATTTATTCTTTATTCAAAAAAATATTCCAAAATTTTTTTTTTGGCTAGAAAAATTTTCAAAAAAATTTAAAAGTTAACTGATTAACACTTTGTCTACTTTACTCCTCAAAATTAAACTATTTTTTCATAATTTTCTCAGTGCATACCTAGAGGTTACCTTAACTAAAACGCTTGAACTTTCTTCTTCCAAAAGTGCTTTTATTATGCTTGAAATGTAGTTAGTAGAGGCTGAAACTAGACTAGAGATCGGACGAAAATCTCTGTTAGTGAGATCGAGAATTTTTTGAGATATCAATCTCGATTTGAAAGACTCTCCCAGCCCAGTCTCTAGTTGATAGATGATTGAATTTGGAAAATTTTCTTACTGATACAAAAATACTTTATTTTTTCTTAAATCCCCTCCCCCTTTTAAAATAGCCCCCCATAGATGTCGAACAAAAAGAATATCAAAAAATAAACAAGCTTTTCCTTTTGTTTTTAGCCCAAGGAAGCTTATTCAGTTCAATTTTATCAGTTTTCATTTTTTAAATCCATTAATTTAATTCATTAAGTACCACTAAATTTAATAACATTATTTCACTACTTATTGTATTTTTAAAGATATGCTTAACAAAATATTTTCTTTTTTTTTATAAATTTGTCTAGCTCTGTAATTCATTTTAAACGTCTAAATTTGCCTTTTATAACTTAAAAAAATTAAAAATTTTTTTAAATCAATATTATTTCCTTCATCCACACGTATCTTCTTCCAAATTTTCTATTTACTCATTAAAATTAATTTTAAAATTTAAATAAAATATTCTCTTCTCTAAATTTTGTGTCTATAATAAAATAAATTTACCTTAATAAAATATTCTTTTATTTCAAAAAATTTTTTTCCAAATTTGTCTTTCACTGAGGGAGACACATTTTATTCTTCTTTATTTTAGTACCCTAAAATTTGTTTTAAAGATAAGGTTCAAGTTTCATCCCCTTAAAGAAACTATTTTCTATATTTCTTTTCTTTTGTTTACCTATTTTTTACTATATTTTTTCATGAATATTTTAACTTTGAATTTAAGTAAAAAAATATTTTTTCTTAAGAAATCTCGTTTAGAGATTGAAAATTCAAAAATCGAGTTTAAAATCGAATTCAAGGTGTTTGAGATTATTCGATCGATAATCTCGGTTTCGAATTTGGATATAATGGGTCAACCCAAAAAGAATGAGCCCTTTATAGATAATGTAAATAATTTATCATAACAAAAAAACAAAAAAATCAAGAAACAATGTATTGCCCATTATTATCTATTAATTCTTGCCATTATCTGGGCAGCTTTTCAATACCTATTTGATAAAAAGTTCTAGCTGATCCTCTAGAAAATCAGTTACCCAATTTTTGCCCCTAGGAATTAAATCCCATGTACAATCAAAGGGCTCATTCTTCTCAAAGGGCTCATTTTTTGGGTCAACCCATTACATAACTACCTAAAAGACTCAAAAAATTTATCAAGTTGGGTCATTTATAGAGATTATAAGAAGCCTTTTAGTTCATTTTAAAGTGAAATTTAATCAAAGATCGTAGGTTATGGGTTTCGTTATTTTAAGAAGTCTGTTAATTTGGGAAAACGAAAAGATTCGAACTAATTTTTTGGACCCGAAAATTAATTTCCAGGAATTTAATTAAAAAAATTTTTTTGAGGACGAATTTTAAAAATTTTTCCGTCTATAAATCGGCTCTGGGTTTAGGTTTCTCCCATTAATTTTTTTTATTAAAAAAAATTTTTTTTAATAAAATATTTTTTCTTTTTTTTCAAACAAAATATTATCTTATGAATTTTACATAAATATAATATTTTTTTCATGTTTTTCTGATCACACTACAAGTTTTTTTTATTAAACTTAAAAATTCTCATTTTACACAAATTCAAAATTTAGCCTCTCTCTTTTAATAATAATTATTATTTTCCTTCTTTCAACAGTTGTCTAAAAATCATAAAAAAATATTATTTGGTAATCATATTTCAGTAAATTGATCGTTTAAAAAATAAAAACGGAAATGAAAAAAATTTTATTTTTAGAGAAATTCTTGTTCTTTTTTAAGGAGAAAAAACACCAAAAAATTAAACCAAAAAACATTTAAAAATTCATAACTCCAAGTAAAATTAATTTTATTTGCTAATCTTTACATTTTCTGATAGCCAATACTCTCCTCTTTTAGAGCCCAAAAAATCAGAATTTTAGGTCCACCTCAAATAAAATCACGAGCCTCCAAGAAGGGTAAATTATAAGGGGAAAACTAGATGTAAAAGACTTTAAAAATTCATAACTCCAAGTAAAAAAATTTTTTATTTAATAAACTTAACATTTTCTGATAGCCAATACTCTCCTCTTTTAGAGCCCAAAAGATCAGAATTTTAGGTCCACCTGGAATCAAATTATGTGCCTTTAAGTTGGGTAAAATAGGGGTGTAGGTTCTGGACCGAACCGACCCGAAGAACCGATGATTTTTCGGTTATTCGGTTCGGTTCCGGATACCCAAAGATTTTTCAAGAACCAACAATCCTAGGTTAAATCATAAGGAAGAAATAGAACCAAAAAACTTTAAAAATTCAAAACTTCAAGTAAAATTAATTTCATTCTGAAAAAGTTAATATTTCTAATAGCTGACATAATGCTCTATTAAAGACCAAAAGGAGAAAAATTTATCCCCGCAACAAAATAAAATTATGGCCTTTTAAGTTTAACAAATCATACCCCAAATCCTTGGCTAATTTGAGGTTAAAAATATTTTTAAAAAGAAAATTAATTTCTCAAAATAATATTTTATTTTTCCTACCTTAAATGACGTTTAAAAAAATTATTTTTTAAAATAAAAGTGTCTGATTTTGATGATTTTTTGCTTCTTTTATTTCTCAGTTCTCCCCTCCAATCAAGAGAATTTTTATTTTGTTTGTCCCACATAATTCCCCAACCTAAAAATCAACTGCTAAAAATAGAAAGAAACAAAAATAAATTTAACCAACACTTGAAGTTTCCCAAAAATTTTTTTCAAGGGAAAAAAAGTCTTTCAATTCCTCCCCCATTTTTAAAAATAATTTTTAAACTTATTTAATTAATAAGTTTATTTTAGCTTATTTTATAAGGGAACCAAGTTTATTTTTTAAATTATTTTTATAAGTAATCAAGTTTTATTTCTCCAACTTTTTTCTTTAAATTATTTAAAAAAGTTTATTTTATGCCCTCAAGTTTATTTTCAAGTTTTATTCAAAACCAAGTTTTATTTTTAAGTTTATTTAAATTCAAGTTTTAATTAAAGTTTTATTTTCCTTCTCTTTCCTTCCCCTAAGTTTTAAGACCAAGTTTCTTTTTCCGATCAAGTTTATTTTCAAGTTGTATTTTTTATTACTTCCAACTTATTTTTGTATTTTATTTAATTCAAGTTTATTTGTCTACCTTTTAACCTTCCGTTAAGTTTATTTTTATTTAATTCAAGTTTATTTTTCTTTCTCTAACCTTTTTTTTGTTCGTATTTCTATAGAATTTCAATGCGCGTTTTATTTATTTTTAAATCTTTATTGCAAACAAAGTTTTTTTTATTTGTTTGTTTCAGTTTGACTTTTATTTTAAATAAACACTTTTTTTAAATGTTTCTTTCTTTTCTTTTATAAATTGAAATTATTTCTTTAAAATTAAATAAAAAATTTTTTAAAATCAATAAAAAAATTTTTTTTTGGAAATTTATTATTTTTTAATAATTTTTATTTTAGCTCAGGGTGGCCCCTTCCAAAACACTAAAATAGGGCGCAGCCACTCAAAAATGGGGCAAAAATAGGGCGAAATCGGCCAAGAATAGGGCAAAAATTAGGGCATAGCTTTAAAAGCTTAAACACAATTAAAATTTCAAATAAGGCGAAAATTCTGAGACTTTTGGAAGGCCAAGAAGCCAAATTTCTTCCATTTTTTTCGCCGCAGGCAAAAATTTTGAGGATTTTGAAGGTCAGGAAGTCGCAAATCCTTCATTTTTACCATTTTTTTTACAAAATCCGAAGAATTTCTAAAATTTTACAAAATGGTAAAAATAGGGCAAAAATATGGCAAATAAGAAAATAGGGAAAAAATAGGGCGAAATGGTCAAAAATAGGGAAAATCCTCTATAAATAGGGTAAAAGGGCCACCCTGTTTTAGCTGTAAAATCAAAATAATTTTTTTGATCAAAAATAAATTAAAAAATTGAATAATTTAATAAATTATTCAACTTGTTAAATTAAAACTTGTTAAATTTTTAAAAATTAATTTGAAAAATAATTTTTAAATTGTTACATATGTATACATACCAGGGATGTCACGGGTTGAGAAAAATTTCGGGTCGGGTTTCGGGTCGGGTTTCCAAAATTTTTCTCGGATCGGGTTTCGGGTTGAGCAAAAAGTCGGGTCGGGTTTCGGATCGGGTTTTCAAAATTTTCTTCGGATCGGGTTTCGGGTTTCGGGTCGAAAAAAAGCCAAAATTTTGAGAATTTTGGAAGGCCAAAAAGCCAAAAATCTTCCCTTCTCAGCGCCGCAGGCGAAAATTTTTCGAATTCTTGAAGGTCCGAAGCCAGATTTCTTCCTTTTTCAGCGCCGCAGCCGAAAATTTTGAGAATTTTGAAAGATCATTAACCTAAAAATCTTTCCTTTTTCTGCGACGCGGTCGAAAATTTTGAGAAAACTCGGGTCGGGTTTCGGGTCGGGTTTTAGAAAATTTCTCGGATCGGGTTTCGGGTATCGGGTCGAAAAAAAGGCCGGGTTTCGGGTTTCGGGTATCGGGTTTCGGGTAACCCGTGACATCCCTGATACATACTTTATTCTTTTTTATTTTTGTCGTTTTATTGTAAAAATAAAATATATTATTTTTCTATATTTTTCTATATTTTTTTAAATTAAAATAATTCAATTTTTGGGTTTCCATTAATGATCAAAAAATATTTTTTTATAGAATTTTTCTAGAATTTTTCTAAAAAATAAAAAAAATTCTATTTTTAGATTTCAATTTTACTTCTCTAAAACAAACAAAAAAATTTAAATATTTACATCCTCCGGAAATTTTTTCGAAAAAATTTTTTTTTGAATATTTACCCTTTACCCTTCATTTCCTTTAAAAAATTTTTTTTTTAATTTCCATTTTTAGATTTTTTTATTTTTATTAAAAGTTTGTTCAACAGTTAAAAGAAGAAGCCGTATCATTTCTCTAGTTTACCCTCCCCCAACTTCAAAAATTATTTTAGAAATAAAAAATTTTTTTTTAATTTAAAAATAGATTAAAAAAGACTTTTTTCTTTTTAATTATAATATTTATTTTTAAATTTTAATTTTTATTTAATTCTCTAGAGCTGACAAAATAAAAAACACAAAATTTTTATTTTTAATTTTTTGAGCGACTTAATCAATGACTGAAAGCTCGTACCAAAATTCGTAACTTCGAACCTATCCATATTAAAATTTTTTTTAAATTTTAAAACAATGTTCTTCATATTTTGTTTAAAAGCAAAAATTAAAACGAGTCGAGGAAAATTATTTCGACCATTTTTTTGAATAAATTTTGATTTTATTTTAATTTTATGTATAATTTATATTTATTTTTGGAAAAAAATTTTTGTTGAGAAGAAAATTTTTTAATTTAAAAATAAAACATTGATTTAGAAAATTTTTTTGGGAAAAATATTCTTTCTTTCCCAAAACATTTTCCACTAGAAATAAAAAAAACACCCAATAACCCTCCCATACATATTTATAACAATACCATACAAAACAAAATAAATTCGAACCTAAAAGAATTTTTAAAAATAAATTAAAAAAATTTTTTTGATCTTCTCAATTTTCACTTAATTTTTTAGGAAAATTAATAAAAAAAAATTACAGCAACACACAACACATATTTTTAAAAATAATATTAAATTTCTAATAAATTTAAAAAAATAAAAATAATTTTATATAAAAAAATTATTTTTTAATAATGTTAATGACAATAAGCACACTAGAAGGGTATTCAGAAAATAATATTAAAAATAATATTAATATAGCAACAACAAAAACATTCATTTCCATACCAGAAACATCGTCATCCTTCCCCTTAATAATTAATTCAAGCAGACAAAATAATTTAAATTTAATGGATAATCAAGAAAGTAGAAAAAATGGGGAGGATCAAGAAGAGGCTGGGTGTACTAATTCACATGTTTGTTCTTAATTTAAATTTGGAGGTAGAAGGAAGGGGTGATTCTCTAGACTTAGGTTAACTGGATCTGTACCTTAAATTTTTAGGTTGATTGGCCATTAAATAGGAAAAGTTTCCAAGCTGTGCCCTCAAGTTTACGCAATTTTACGTACCTAAAATCTTTTGTGTACACAACCGAGATGCGATCGTATTTAGACTAGGATTCAATACCGTCCCCGGGGACGGTGGTTCACCGGGGACGGTGGAAGGCTCTTCCCCCAGAGCCATCGTACCCGTCACAGATGCTAAAACCTGACCGTAAATATTGAACCCTAATTTAGACTTAGGAAAGCTGTCGTCTTTAGGAAATTATACATTTTATTTTGACTGATCTACATATACCAAGGAAGTAACGGGTCGAGTGAAAAGGTCGGGTCTGGATTCGAATCGAAAAATGTCTAAAGGTTTCAAGCATCGACTAACCACTGACATTCCTTATCTATAGATTCGCATGAATCACTTTATGGCTTTAGGAGACGTGAGAACTCTCTGTGGGAGAGATTTGGACTTATTTTTATTACCAAAAAATAAACCAAAAAATTTCTTATTAAGATAATTTCCGCTCAGACAATAATAAGCTTTACGGAGAACATGGATGCTGTTATGGTAGAAAATTTGAAAAAAATTTTTAAAAATTTCACTATTTCCAGTTTGTTTTAACCCTGTTTTCATCGTTTTTACAACTTTATGTAATGTTTGCAGCCCTAAAACATATCAAAAGGAAAACTAGTGATAAGTGTTTGCATGTATTTTTGTTGAGTATGACTATGGCTGATTTTTTACTTACAGGTTTGGGGAGGGAGGAGAGGGGGTTTGAGGCAATTATTTTAAAAAATTATCTTTGTAGCTTTGTGTTACCCAGTAGAATTGGCACCTAGAGCTGGATTAATAAGCAAATTTCCTCGTTTTGTAAGTTTTACTTGTAAAAATTAAAGTAAAGGAGAGCTGGACTATAGCTATTTCTCTCCTTTAGCTAGTGCAAAAAGGTATTCGGTGCTGGGAGCGAACCAGCAACTTAAGTAGACCGGACTGATTATACCACCTACTGCACAGCCTAGGAATTATATAGCTATATGTAGATAAAAAATAATTTTATGTAGATATCAGCTTTAATGCACATTTTGTGTTGGATCGGCTTGATAGTTTCGTCATTATCTCTAGTCTTTTTGAATTTGGACAAGTTGATCTTCTTCCGGTTTCCTTTGAGGTAATTTTTAACTATGTTTTAAACTTTTAGGGCATCAATCTTTTAGAATGTTTCTACCTAAAATCTCGAATGGAATGCCCAGGCATTATATTAGAGAGAGAATTCAACTCGAGGGATTCGAACTCTCTGTGCAGAGACCTAACAACTAGAGATTTTCCCGAGGAAAAAGTTTAGCCCGGGGCAGGGATTGATCTTACGAATTTCTGGCAATTCTTGTTAGTGCTTTCGTTCACCATGTACAGGTGTTCTACCGTAAGACGGAGCTATGCTTCACCCTCTCTTTTAAAAAGCATAAACCTCCGACTAGTAAGCGCTCCCTTATTCTCTACACTTAACCCAGACCTTCCCTCTGGCCAAGACCAACCAGCTAGAGATCCAGCTAGCTGGAAGTAGTTATTCTTGAGGAAAACTCATTTTGGACTGAAAATTTTCTTTAATTAAAAAAGCTCTCAATTATTCAAGATATTCCACTTGTTTCACTCGAGCACGTGCAATCTATTTAGCTTTGGGTTGTTGGTTTTTAAGCACAGCTTTTGTGCTATTCGCTTGGTCAACAGAATCATTCCATTGTGTAGACGAGGATTGGTTTGGGAATATTTTGAATTAAAAATAAATTAAAAATTAAAGCGTAACGTTAGCAATATTTCCAAATCGTCTCTATATTTATTTACCTTTTATGATTTGTGTGGGGGTAATCCCAACAATTACATCTTTAAGCGTTGCGATTTATATTATGAAGGTAGTCAGTGAACATAGAAGGCAAATTAAATCACAGGGTAAGAGAAAATACAAAAATCAGAATTTTTATTGAAAATACAAAAATCAGAATTTTAATAAAAATACATACAAAAAAATCAGAATTTTTACTGAAAATACAAAAATCAGAATTTTCACTGAAAACAGAAAAATCAGAATTTTTACTGCAAATACAAAAATCATAATTTAATAAAAATACAAAGAATCAGAATTTTCACTGAAAATACAAAAAACAGAATTAAAAAAATCAGAATTTTATTCAAAAATTAAATGAAATACAGAAACCAGAATTATTTAATTCAGAATTGTTTATTAAATCAGAATTTGAGATCAGAATTTTAATTTGAATAATAATTCTGGTTTCTGTATTTCATTTAATTTATGAATAAAATTCTGATTTATTTTTGAAATTCGGATTTTTGTATTTTACTTTTAACTATTAAATAGGAGTAAAATACAAAAATCAGAATTTTATAAAAATCAGAATTTCATTTAAAAATTGAAAAAATACAGAAATCAGAATTTTTAAATAATGTATCAAAAATACATTTAATTTATTTTTCAGAACATTTATTACGAACACCCAGAGATAACAGCTCTCCTGCACCCGTAATTACTTCACCTTCCTCTCCCCGTCCACATTCTGCTATGCGATCAAAAATGCGAACATTTTATTTTATTTTTATGACTACTGTAATTTTAAATTAATTAAATTAATTTTTAAAAATTAATTTAAAAGGTTTTTACTGCTTTTACCCTCCTTCCTTATCGTTTTGCGGGGCTACAGAGGTTTTTAAAAATTAATTTTTTAAAATTAAATTTTTTAAATTGAAGGTCATTAAATCCCCAACGTACAAACGAGTGTATGACCATATTTCTTTACTGGCTAATGATGTATTTGGTCTATTTAAATTCGGTAGGAGATGAAAAGTTGATGAGAGTGCTCTTTTAATAAAAAATTTTTTTCAAAAATTTTCTGAAAATTATTTTGGAAAATTTTTTGAAAATTCTAAAAATTTTCAAAAAAAATTTTTTTTTATTTTTTCAAAAATTTTTTGAAAATTTCTTTAATTTTAAAAATAAAAAATTTTCTCAATAGATGCTAAACCCCCTACTGACTGTCAGCATTCTTCCCCAGTACAGAATGGGGTTTGTTCGTGATGTGCTGCTCTGTCAAAGTCTGCGCACAAAGCGTAGAATGACTGATCAAAGGAGAAATTATTATACATCTGTTGCCCAAAGAGGTTCTAGTGATGCTGCTATTTAAAAATTTTTGTTTGAAATTTTAATATCTTATTTTCCAATTTTCACTTTTTCCGATTATATACATATTTTCTTTTAATTTTCACGTTTTTAAATCTTTTAATAAAAAAATTTGTAAAATTTTACAAATTTAAAAAAAATTTTTGAAAAAAATTTTAATAAGAAAATTTTTTTAAATTTTAAAAATTTTCAAAAAATTTTTGTTTAAAATAAGAAATTATTAGAAAATAAACTCGGTGGTTTTTGAATTGTTTTATACCAAAAATATAAATCTTAACTTTTTCGTTTTTAATGTCATAAATCAGGGCTCCGATTCGTACTTTTTTAAAAGTATTGTACTTTTTTATCACCCTTCGTACTTCCGAAATTGAAGTTGTACTTTTTTGAAAGTATGTACTTTTTTATCAACATTTTTGAAAAAACGAAGAAATCTGGCTTAAGGACCTCCAAAATTCTCAAAATTTTCGCCTGCGGCGCAAAAAATGGAAGAAATCTGGCTTAAGGACCTCCAAAATTCTCAAATTTTCGCCTGCGGCGCAAAAAATGAAAGAAATCTGGCTTCTTAGGCTCCAAATTTCAAAAAATTTTCGCCTGCGGCGCTTCTCAATGGCAAACATTCAATGGACGAAAAAAACTCGCTTGAGGTTAAGACTGTCAGAGCTTTGCTTCATGCGGCAGCAAATTTTGACATGTCATGCAATGAAATGCACAAAATGCTCAGTTGAAACAAGAAATTATTAGAAAAGATTAATTTAGGAGAGAAATATAAAAGATTTGATATCAAATATATATTTTCAAATTTAATTTTGAGTGTACTTTTTATTTGCAAATTTTCTCCCTATGTACTTTTTTTACAAGATTTTTATACTTTTGAGTGGCATTTTGTCGATTGGAGCCCTGTCATAAATGCTCTAATATTCTTGGGAAGATTTATACTCGCTAAGTAGTGCAAGCGCGTTTATGCATAATTCTTCTTCTTGGAAAGACTTATACTCGCTAAGTCATTATCTCTAGTCTTTTTAAATCTGGACAAGTTGATCTTCCTTCGTTTTCCTTTGAGGTAGTTTAATTTAATTTTTGAGGCAACACTTTTTGATACCGTAAAATATTTGTTAGATAATGTCCGATTATATAATATCCGATTTATTTATCTTCTAATTTTTCTAGAATGGAAAATTTTCTTTTATTTAAAAAGTTCAGTTAGTACTAATCATTATACGCCATTATCCGATTAATTTATCTTCTAATTTTTCTAGAATGGAAAATAGTCAGATTCTAGAATAAAATTGTTTATTTAAATCCGAAAATAATTTAATCATATGTTAGTGGAAAGATAATTTATTAGAAAACATATATTTATAGTTCTCAGGTTCTAGAATAAAATCAAATAGTTAAATCTGAAAATAATGTAATCTTATGTTAGTGGAAAGATAATTTATTAGAAAACATATATTTATAGTTCTCAGGTTCTAGAATAAAATCAATTAGTTAAATCTGATAATAATGTAATCTTATGTTAGTGGAAAGATAATTTATTAGAAAACATATATTTATAGTTCTCAGGTTCTAGAATAAAATCAATTAGTTAAATCTGATAATAATGTAATCTTATGTTAGTGGAAAGATAATCTATTAGAAAACATATATTTATAATTTTCAGATTCTAGAATAAAATTAAATAGTTAAATCCGAAAATAATGTAATCTTATGTTAGTGGAAAGATAATTTATTAGAAAACATATATTTATAGTTCTCAGGTTCTAGAATAAAATCAATTAGTTAAATCTGATAATAATGTAATCTTATGTTAGTGGAAAGATAATTTATTAGAAAACATATATTTACAATTTTCAGATTCTAGAATAAAATTAAATAGTTAAATGCGAAAATAATTTAATCTTATGTTAGTGGAAAGATAATTTATTAGAAAACATATATTTATAGTTCTCAGGTTCTAGAATAAAATCAATTAGTTAAATCTGAAAATAATGTAATCTTATGTTAGTGGAAAGATAATTTATTAGAAAACATATATTTATAGTTCTCAGGTTCTAGAATAAAATCAATTAGTTAAATCTGAAAATAATGTAATCTTATGTTAGTGGAAAGATAATTTATTAGAAAACATATATTTATAGTTCTCAGGTTCTAGAATAAAATCAATTAGTTAAATCTGATAATAATGTAATCTTATGTTAGTGGAAAGATAATTTATTAGAAAACATATATTTATAATTTTCAGATTCTAGAATAAAATTAAATAGTTAAATCCGAAAAAATGTAATCTTATGTTAGTGGAAAGATAATTTATTAGAAAACATATATTTATAGTTCTCAGGTTCTAGAATAAAATCAATTAGTTAAATCTGAAAATAATGTAATCTTATGTTAGTGGAAAGATAATTTATTAGAAAACATATATTTATAGTTCTCAGGTTCTAGAATAAAATCAATTAGTTAAATCTGATAATAATGTAATCTTATGTTAGTGGAAAGATAATTTATTAGAAAACATATATTTATAGTTCTCAGGTTCTAGAATAAAATCAATTAGTTAAATCTGATAATAATGTAATCTTATGTTAGTGGAAAGATAATTTATTAGAAAACATATATTTATAGTTCTCAGGTTCTAGAATAAAATCAATTAGTTAAATCTGATAATAATGTAATCTTATGTTAGTGGAAAGATAATTTATTAGAAAACATATATTTACAATTTTCAGATTCTAGAATAAAATTAAATAGTTAAATCCGAAAATAATGTAATCTTATGTTAGTGGAAAGATAATCTATTAGAAAACATATATTTATAATTTTCAGATTCTAGAATAAAATTAAATAGTTAAATCCGAAAATAATGTAATCTTATGTTAGTGGAAAGATAATTTATTAGAAAACATATATTTATAGTTCTCAGGTTCTAGAATAAAATTAAATAGTTAAATCTGAAAATAATGTAATCTTATGTTAGTGGAAAGATAATTTATCAGAAAACATATATTTATAATTTTCAGATTCTAGAATAAAATTAAATAGTTAAATCCGAAAATAATGTAATCTTATGTTAGTGGAAAGATAATTTATCAGAAAACATATATTTATAATTTTCAGATTCTAGAATAAAATTAAATAGTTAAATCTGAAAATAATGTAATCTTATGTTAGTGGAAAGATAATTTATCAGAAAACATATATTTATAATTTTCAGATTCTAGAATAAAATTAAATAGTTAAATCTGAAAATAATGTAATCTTATGTTAGTGGAAAGATAAAATAAATTGTATATCTTATTTTCGTTATTTTGGAGTGATCTCCAGTTCCAGCAAGGCGGTAATTATATGTAAATTATTTTAAAAATATCAAAAAATATAATAGAAGTAAATAGTATAGGACGGAGTAAAAAATAATCAACTCGAATCTAAAAGTATATTATAAATAAATTGTATATCTTATTTTCGTTATTTTGGAGTGATCTCCAGTTCCAGCAAGGCGGTTATTATATATAAATTATTTTCAAAATATCAAAAAATATAATAGAAGTAAATAGTATAGGACGGAGTAAAAAATAATCAACTCGAATCTGAAAGTATATTATAAATAAATTGTATATCTTATTTTCGTTATTTTGGAGTGATCTCGATTTCCAGCAAGGCGGTTATTATATGTAAATTATTTCCAAAATATCAAAAAATATAATAGAAGTAAATAGTATAGGACGGAGTAAATAATAATCAACTCGAATCTAAAAGTATATTATAAATAAATTGTATATCTTATTTTCGTTATTTTGGAGTGATCTCCAGTTCCAGCAAGGCGGTTATTATATATAAATTATTTTCAAAATATCAAAAAATATAATAGAAGTAAATAGTATAGGACGGAGTAAAAAATAATCAACTCGAATCTGAAAGTATATTATAAATAAATTGTATATCTTATTTTCGTTATTTTGGAGTGATCTCGATTTCCAGCAAGGCGGTTATTATATGTAAATTATTTCCAAAATATCAAAAAATATAATAGAAGTAAATAGTATAGGACGGAGTAAAAAATAATCAACTCGAATCTAAAAGTTTATTATAAATAAATTGTATATCTTATTTTCGTTATTTTGGAGTGATCTCCAGTTCCAGCAAGGCGGTTATTATATATAAATTATTTTCAAAATATCAAAAAATATAATAGAAGTAAATAGTATAGGACGGAGTATAAAATAATCAACTCGAATCAAAAAGTATATTATAAATAAATTGTATATCTTATTTTCGTTATTTTGGAGTGATCTCCAGTTCCAGCAAGGCGGTTATTATATATAAATTATTTTCAAAATATCAAAAAATATAATAAAAGTAAATAGTATAGGACGGAGTAAAAAATAATCAACTCGAATCTAAAAGTATATTATAAATAAATTGTATATCTTATTTTCGTTATTTTGGAGTGATCTCCAGTTCCAGCAAGGCGGTTATTATATATAAATTATTTTCAAAATATCAAAAAATATAATAGAAGTAAATAGTATAGGACGGAGTAAAAAATAATCAACTCGAATCTAAAAGTATATTATAAATAAATTGTATATCTTATTTTCGTTATTTTGGAGTGATCTCCAGTTCCAGCAAGGCGGTTATTATATATAAATTATTTTCAAAATATCAAAAAATATAATAGAAGTAAATAGTATAGGACGGAGTATAAAATAATCAACTCGAATCTAAAAGTATATTATAAATAAATTGTATATCTTATTTTCGTTATTTTGGAGTGATCTCCAGTTCCAGCAAAGCGGTTATTATATATAAATTATTTTCAAAATATCAAAAAATATAATAGAAGTAAATAGTATATGACGAAGTAAAAAATAATCAACTCGAATCTAAAAGTATATTATAAATAAATTGTATATCTTATTTTCGTTATTTTGTAGTGATCTCCAGTTCCAGCAAGGCGGTTATTATATATAAATTATTTTCAAAATATCAAAAAATATAATAGAAGTA